GCTCTGACAGTGCAAGTTTTGCAATCCTCAGTTGTAGCAAATTGTTATTTCCAGCTTCCTCTTAGTCAACAGCTGCAACAGAAAGCTTTTACATCTCTGACCTAAATTTTAAATATGTCAAAGAAGTGCCGTGACGCTCCCATTTTATATAAAACCTACTCTGTATATCAGAGGTGTAAATAAAACATTTCTTGGCAATGAGAGAGTTACTTCTTCTTAAAGCTTGGGCTAGTGGTTAAGGCACTGAGACTAGAACTCAGGAGCCTGGGAGTTGTAGTTCGGCTTTAGGCATGGATGCCGGATGGGTGACTTTGAGTCAGTCACTCTCTCTCTCCGCCCACAGAATTGTTGTGGGGAAAATAAGAAAGGGGTATTCGGTATGTTCATGGCCTTGAGTTATTTATAAAAATAACAAAAATGGGATTCAATCTAAAGCTCCAAAAAGGCAGGACAAGAAGCAATGGATGTAAACCAGTGTTTCTCAACCTTGACAATTTTAAGGCATGTGGACTTCAACTCCCAGAATTCCACAGCCAGCCTGAGCAGGGGGTTGGACTAGATGACCTCCAAGGTCCCGTCCAATTTATTATTATTGTTGTTATTATGAATCATTGCACAGTCGTTGTTGTTGTTATTATTATTATTATTATTATTATTATTATTATTATTAGCCTCCAGGAGCTGTGGGTGCTCCATCACTGGAGATTTTCAAGAAGAGTTGGACAACCATTTGTCTGAAATGGTATTGGGTCTACTAAAAGACCTCCATGGTGCCTTCCAACTCTGTTACAGTAAATGTAGTAAAATATTAAAGAAATACACATGTAACACACATCATGTAGTAGTAGTAATAATAATAGTAAAGTTGGAAGAGACCTTGGAGGTCATCTAGTCCAACCCCCTGCTCAGGCAGGAAACCCTACACCATTTCGGACAAATGGCTGTCCAGTCTCTTCTTAAAAACTTCCAGTGTTGGAGCATGCACCGCTTCTGGAGGCAGGTTGTTCCACTGGTTAATTGTTCACACTGTCAGGAAGTTTCTCCTTAGTTCCAGGTTGCTTCTCTCCTTGATTAGTTTCCACCCGTTGCTTCTTGTCCTGCCTTCAGGCGCTTTGGAAAATATAATCATACTAAAGAAAATATAATCATACTGAAGGGAAACTGGCTTCAATATGGCCGTGAAGACTCTTATGAACCATTCAGGCCTCTACTTCTATGATGGAAGAAGAAAGCTTTAAAACTACCACTAATTTAAAAAGTCATTTTTAACACTCTTGCTTGAGCTCATAATAGAAACAATGACCAGCTTAAACACCATACGGTCTTCAATGTCATGATCAAGTGCTTTTTTTTTTGGTACTTCCACACTTCCTAGGGTGTGGCACCACGTACTGCCTGGACTTCAGATCTATTGCACTGCAGTTGTACAAGTGATAAGGCAGAAAGAGCAAAGGTGCAAGAGGGATAATTCTGAATCGCGTGATTGTGATGTCTCCGATCTGGCCAAAGAGGGACATAATCTTGAGTCTCAAAGAAGCTTTTTAATGAAGATTGTTCAATAAATTAAATAAGGAGGGTTTCACTGTACAGATGTGATTGAACCATAGCAGGTGAATTGGCTGTTTATTAAGCAGGCTTGAGATGTCTTCTAGGCCAGGGGTCTGCAGACTTGACAACTTTAAGACTTGTGGACTTCAGCTGAGGAATTCTGGGAGCTGAAGTCCACAAATCTTAAAGTTATCAAGGTTGGAGACCCTGTTCTAGGCTACTTCTGACTGATCAAGTGAAAAACAAAAGTATTTCTATTTTTCCCTGAACTTTTCCAGTTTCTACCTGTAAATTTGGGAGCAACTTGTCACTACTTGAAGAAGTTTTCCTTTCAAATATTGGCAAATAGGAAAATCTGTGTGTTAAATCTGACACATTTTGGGGTCAGTAGGATGAAACTGTCCTTTTTTTTTCTTTTCTTTTTTTATGATGAGGGTGCTTATAATTACCAGGATAAGTTTTTATAATTACCTACTAAGTTTTCTCATTGGAAAAAAAAAACTTGCAATAAAAATGGGTGATTAGACGGAAGCTTTGTTCTTTCTCTCCGCATCTGAGGGCTGTTTTGGCGGTATTCTGTCATTTTAATTCATCACGAAGACAGTGCGTATAATGGGAATAATGAGCACAATCCTTTCTTTGAACCAACCAGCCACTGAGTTACCACCATGGCAATACAATGCTTTGGTTTCATTTTGGAAGAGCCGCATCGTTTTCCAGGATCACATGCTGTTGTGAGGATGCTTCTGCTACCGTTGTATGATTTTGGAAAACAGTGCAGTTCCTTTAATGAGATATAGATAGCTGCTGTCTGTCCCAAAGATTTATACGTTTATAATAATAGTAGTAAAATTGGAAGGGACCTTGGAGGTCATCTAGTCCAACCCCCTGCTCGGGCAGGAAACCCTACACCATTTCGGACAAAAGGCTGTCCAGTCTCTTCTTAAAAACTTCCAGTGTTGGAGCATTTAATGCTTCTGGAGGCAGGCTGTTCCACTGATTAATTGTTCTCACTGTCAGGAAGTTTCTCCTTAGTTCTAGGTTGCTTCTCTCCTTGATTAGTTTCCACCCGTTGCTTCTTGTCCTGCCTTCAGGTGCTTTGGAAAATAGCTTAATTCCCTCTTCTTTATGGCAGCCCCTGAGATATTGGAATACTGCTATCATGTCCCCCCTTGTCCTTCTCTTCGTTAAACTAGACATACCCAATTCTAGCAACCGTTCCTTATATGTTTTAGCCTCCAGTCCCCTAATCATCTTTATATTAATTGTGCACATGTTTTTAGAATACTGTCAAAAGAATCAGTTCCCATTTAAATAGATTAGAGCTTCCTATTTATATTTTTGATGAGTAGTTGAAGGGTGACAAATAATAGAGCTGATGATGGTACCTAGGTTGGTAATGAAATGTCTGCAAGAAAATAGCCACGCTCAGAGAGCACCAAGGACCCTTCACATTTGTCGAATGTCTCTCTGGAGTCGTTGGTTTTTGATCTGATGTGGAACACAAAGGAGAAGCCCGAATCAGCTGAATAATTCCTGCCCATTTGTGAGGAAACACTTTCAGATAGTGCAAATTAATTTGCCTATGCCATATTTTACATAAGATGCCTGGAAAATAGTTGAAGCTGGACACCAGTGGTGGCAATCTGTTCCACAGCACAACTGGCACGCTTGTGATTAAATGTTCCAGGAAGATAATTGCATTAATCTAGGTGTAGTTAGTTTGCACAGTTGGCAGCGGGCATACAGTCATATTCTAGAAAAACCTTACAGATCAAACAGTCCATTCCCTGTTCCTACTATTTGGATTATTCTACTCCGGTATAAGTGAGGCCAAATTCCTTACAGGTATAAAATAGAAGCCAGCAATTACAGGCAGTCCTCAACTTATGACCACAATCCAGCTCAAACTTTCTGCTGCTAAGTGAGACGGTTATTAGTGAGTTTTGCCCCATTCTACGACCTTTCTTCCCACCGCTGTTAAGTGAATCACTGCAGTTGTTAGGCTAGTAACCCGGTTGTTAAGTGAATCTGGCTCCCCCCCCATTGACTTTGGTCACAAAAGGGGATCACATAACCCCAGGACTCCGCAACAGTCAAAAATATGAGTCAGTCGCCAAGCATCTGAATTTTGATCAAGGGGATCGTAAGTCCTAAGGATAACAAAGGGCGGCCAATGACTCTTTTTTCAGTGCTGTTGCAACTTCAAACGTACTGTTTGAAGTCAAGGACTAACCGTACCCTGATGGTACGTGAAACTCTTAACCAACAAGATTGCCATGGAAAATCCAGGTCTCCCTGGAATATAGAAGCACCGTAATTAATTGAAACTGCTGAATATTTTTATGCTATGGGTCCATAATCCAACCCGCAGATTTCCCGATGTTGTAAGCGCCAATTAGAAATTCTAATTCTGGCAAACGTGTAGAACGTCTTGTGGACTCCACCTTCCCGTCAACAGACTGGGAACAAAACAGAGAGAGTGCAAGTTGCATCATGCGCTGCAGTGCGGCCCTGGCAAGATGGGCTGACGAGGAGGAGTTGGGATCGCACGCCCTGTTGTTTCTCTTAAAAGTGTCCTTGTTGGCCAGCAGGTACAAAGGACACGTACAGAGTTTGTAGGCAAGCAAATTATGATGATAACCACCACAGAGAAAAAGAACCAAACCGGAATAACAAAACCAGAATAATTGCTCGACTTTGAAGTGCCGGTGTAAGCAGTGTGATGAAAGCACTCCTAAGTTCCCTCTTGACTCTCCCATCCTGGAAGAGTTTGCATTGGCCAGCATGAATGTTCACATTGGAGCGTTGTGCCAGGGATATTGAAGCCACACCTAGAAGGTAGACTTCCTTCCTCCTCTTGGTGGTGACAGCTAAACAAAAATCCAAAACTTCGCTTTTGGACCATCCCTTGGGTTCTTCTTGCGAGCAGGCTTCATAAATGGCTGTAAATGGGGTTTATTGAGTGGGTAAAGTCATTTTTGAGAGATAAACAGCGATATCAACCCAATAAATAAATAACATGTTGCCCATAGAAGAGAATTTTTGTAGCTCAAGGTTGAACGGAGGGCTCCCTGGTGCTCTTGAAGTTGGTGGTGTTCTTGAGACATTTTGTTACCCAACTAGGTAATATCATCAGTGCTAGAAGGGCGTGGGGTTTTGTGGAGTGCAGGAGAAAGGAGGAAGAAGAGGAGGAGGAGGGGGGCCTGGTGCACTCTGAGCTTGGCAGTTTTCTTGCAGACGTTTCATCACCCCACTTAGTAACCTCATCAGGGCTAGAAAAGACGGGGGTTCTAGCACAGAGGATGTTATCTAGCTGGGTCATGAAACATCTGCAAGAAAACCACCAAGCTCAGAGAGCACCAGGGACCCCACAAGCAGCATGTCGACTACTCAAAGGTCAGCAGTCCCATTTGCAACGACAATAACCCTCCCGTCTTTCTCTTCTACAGGTACAGGAAACACGGTGGCCATCATGATTAGCTACGCCAAAGGCAGAGAAATCCTTCAGAAGATTGAAAAGGGCTACCAGGTGACCATGGCTATCGAAGTAGGGAAAAAGCACGGATCGTGGATGAATAATTATTCCATTTTCTTCGTTTCGGTGTCCTTCTTCATAGTCACAGCCGCCACGGTGGGATACTTCATATTTTATTCCGCTAGAAGGCTTAGAGTTGCAAGGGCCCAGAACAGGAGACAGGTGAGTTTCCCCCCCCCCTTTGTTCTATACCACCTGTTGACAAAATGGCTTCGTTTTTTTCAGCAAATGGTTCCTTCTCTTATAAGTCATTCTTCTTTCTCTGGGATTTAGCAATAGCACCTAAACCAGGGGAGGCAACCTTGGCTCTTTTATGACTCGTGGACTTCCAACTCCCAGAATTCCTGAGCCAGCTATGACCCAGACTTATATAACTGCCCTATAGTGCTTTACAGCACTCTCTGAGCTGTTTATAATGTAAGCATATTGCCCCCCCCCCATCAATCTGGATCCTCATTTTACTGACCTCGGAAAGATGGCAGGCTGAGTCAACCTTGAACCCCGTCAGGATCGAACTCCAGGCTGTGGGCAGATTTTTGAACAGTTAGATTTTATAAATGCCTGTCAAAATTATCAGTACTTAAGCACCCCTCTGACAAATGCATCCATGCAAAGTAGAAACCACCAAGGTATTAGTGTACATCTGGGGACATAACTTAATCATATAATGCATTTCTTGATTTTGGAGGAATTTGTGGAATTCGTACTGGGTCTGATTTTTTTTTTATTTTTATTTTAAAAACGGGCCAGTTTGATTCTAGCTGAGTCTCGTCGCAGCCAGTCAATAACTCAAAAGGTATACTTTTTCTAGATCATTTCAGCTTTTAGTGAACAGCTGTTTTCCAAGGTGAGTAAATAAATTTTTGGAATACTTTTATGGATTTTTTTTCTAAGTCAGAGATAGCTCCAGCAATATCCTTTAAGAGTTTGCCAAGACGTATCGCCTCCAAAAGGTTTGAAGCAAAACCTGGTGTGTGAACCTCCTTCTAGCTTTTCCCATGCATAGCTGGCTTAGCATCTTAGAGGCAGTTATAGGCAGTTCAGGTTCTTCCAGTATATAATTACAACCTTTGGCTTGCTTCTTCCATCCAAACTAAAATTAATTTGGCGAAGCGTAATGAGTTGTATCAGCGCAAAATGAATGCGTGCTAACTCATCTGTATTTATAGCCTCATAAAAGGATGTGAATCTTTCAAGATCATTAAACATCTATGACGGTCTAATCTAATGCATGCCGCTGGATGACTGCTAAATGAAAAACTTTTGATACCACTGTTAAAACCATCAAAGGGGAGATTTTTTTTTTTAATCAGTAAGATTAAAAACAAAGAATATAGCTTTACTACCACATCGGTCACGCCTGCAAAAAAAATGAACTACTTCTAGCCAGATTAGATTAAGCATATGTGCATTCTCTTCAAAGATGGGAAGAGGGAAAGAAATTGGCCAAGGCCAGTTCAAAGTGGTGTATGATTTGACTGAAAGGTAGCAGAAATTTGCAGAACACCATCTGAAACGAGCTGCTTTCATTTTTGCATCCATCTTCTGGGCAGTTAATGTAAAGGAACTTTGGAGGGCGTGAAGGAAATTCACGTGTGCGATTTTTCATTGGAGAACCTCCTTTTAACCTTAATCAGTCATCTAAAAACAATTCAGCTGGCATTTGGGAATTTCCACTGGAATGTTTCCTGTTTGGCTTAAAAACCCCTCTGAATAAACTATGTAATATTTTTGTGCATGCCAAGTAAACACTTCAAAACCACATACCTGTGACCCTTGACTTATAATTAGGTCCTGGCTTATACTCCTAGGCAGGTTTGCTCCATCTGTCTAAAGAAACACCCTCACCCATTGTTAATTGTGTAGCAGTTAGTATCTCAAGCTTGTTTGGGAGAACCAGTTCATGCCTTGACACTGTGCTTGTCTGTTACAGAGACGGCTGAAAGCAGATGCCAGGAAGGCAATTGGACAGCTACAGTTGCGTACATTAAAACAGGGAGACGAGGTACGACCAAATTCATCCTTTTTGCCTGAAGGTTGCACCGTCCTGAAAAAAAAGCATCCTGCCAGCCTGTTCTTGTTACCGATCCAGAAAATAACTATATCCCTAGTTGGTTTGTTTGTTGGTTTGTTTGTTTGTAAATGCCCTATAATGTTGCAAAATTGCCTGTTACGCCGGGCCAGTTTGAACTTTCCACCTTAGCTCCTTACAGCAAGGAGGTGTTTTCATAACAAGTCGGTGTAAAAAGAGAGAACTTAATTCGGGGTGTTGATTTTAACAACCGTTTAGTAGAAGTTTGTCCAGAAGATGTGGCTCCATTCAACCAATTACACCCGGTTAATTTGGGGTTGGGGCGGGTTGGGGGAAGGTTACATTTTGGCTCCAGATTTATTCTTTTATTTTTATTGTTTGAAAATGGAGAGAAATTCCGGAGGCATAGCAAAATAAAAACATAAGATTTGTTTATTTATTGGACTTGTATGCGACCCATCTCCCCTAGATTACTGCTGTAGAAAGGAGGGCTCGCGTGTTCAGTTGTTGCTTGTACATTTCTGAAGATCCCATTACTCTTACCACCTTGCCTCCAGATCAGTGGTTCTCAACCTGTGGGTCGGGACCCCATTTGGGGTCGAACGACCATTTCACGGGGGTCGCCAAACAAGGCTGTCCGCCATTTTTCCCCCCTTTTCTTTGGCCACGCCCCTGGCACCCGGTGATGTATAAGTGGTTGGGGGTCACCACAACATGGGGAACTGTATTATGGGGTCGCGGCATTAGAAAGGTTGAGAACCACTGCTCCAGATGATTCTCTGGAATCCATCCTTGTTAGCTTAGTGTGGTAAAACAGCAATTTGGGCTTCTGGACCGTCCAGTTCGAGGGGGAGTCAGCTGAATCCCAATCCCTGGAATTGTTGGATGTTCTCCTGTTAACTGAACACAAGAAGACATGTTTTCTTTCTCCCCTTTTTTAAAGGAAACCGGCCCTGATGCAGATAATTGTGCTGTGTGCATTGAAGCGTACAAAGCAAATGATATTGTCCGAATTTTAACTTGCAAGTAGGTTGATTCTTTTTTTTTTTTCCCTCCTCAACTCGTCCTCTCTTCCTTTGTGCTCCTGGGAAGCTGTTTTCACTGGTTCCGCTTTGTTTCTCGTGATCCATAGTTGGTTGGCTGAAACAACACTTATCATATGAGTTCAAGTGTAATTGAATAGTCTAGACCAGGCGTATCCAACCTTGGCAACTTTAAGATTGGTGGACTTCAACTCCCAGAATTCCCCTGCCAGTATGGAGAATTCTGGGATTTTGAAGTTCACATGTCTTAAATTTGACAAAGTTGGACAACTCTGGTCTGCAATGTAATAATTGCATTTAGCTTTGGATTACCCTTTAAACCTGATTTTTTTAAAAAATAAATCTGTATGACTATGTTCTAAGTAACTCCAGACTTAAATTCAAGATCTTAACATTTTGTTAGGTTCCTAAAAATATCAAAAATAATTGCATAACAATATTCCTACAAGCAGAGTGCATACCGAGACTAACTGTTGAATGGCGATAAAAGCTCTGTGCCTTTTTAAACCGTAGTTGAATTTAAAAGACGACAAGGCAAAACCAAAGTACACCAGTATTCTGGTTTGGTATATTCCTATATGATAGGTGAGCAGATCTACTGGTGATTTTCAGCAGACCTCAAGTAAGCAAAACATAACATAATGTGATATATAAGCAAAATATAATACAATGTGACAACCAAATCAATTATATATTTAAAAAATAGCAACTGTTGCTCTGACCTGTTGAGTCATATTATAAATTCTTCTTTTTTTTTTTCCAGTCATCTGTTTCACAAGAGCTGTATCGATCCCTGGCTGCTAGAGCATAGGACTTGTCCCATGTGTAAATGCGACATACTCAAGGCTTTGGGAATTGAGGTAAACTATGAGCTGCTGCAGTTAAGTTTCTCATGATCTGCTTTTTGCTGTTAACTGGATTTGCTCTAGAAAATAATTGCAATGCCACAATCCGCTTGAAAAGGCATTTTTAACCCCTTTACAAGGACGAAGCCTGTAACAGTTTCTGTGAATATCCTCCCTACGTGTTTCCAAGCTGAATTGCCGTGCAAAATAAGCTTGCCCCCTTAAGAAGTTGTCTTAATTAATCGTCTTTGAAAGGCAATCAAAATCTCTTGGAAGAAGCCTACAGTAAACGTAGGTGGCAAGGAGGTAGCTTGTAGCTTTGCGGAAATAACTTTATTTTGCTCATCCGTTTCTTCCCGTGAAATTCTACGTGATGCAGGTGGATGTGGAAGACCAAGGAGAGCCTGCTCAAACGCCCTCTGCCCCCAGCGAAGCCTCTAATATTCCTTCAGTTAATGAAGAAGATAATCACAGCGAGACCGCCTCATCGGGGTACGCTTCTGTACAGGGAGCTGAGGAACCGGCTCCAGAGGAGCGTGTTACTCCAGAGAGTAAGTTTCCTGCGGGACTCGCAAATTACAATAAATAATTCTTTCTCTGGAGCGAGTATCACTTTGGTTCCCTTTAGCACAAGTTTTTGTAAAAATTGGACGGTGTCGGCTGCCACCTGCTGGGGGTTCAGTGGCACGCCACGAGGAGAGGGAGTTGACCTCAATCCTTTTTGCACAAAAGTAGTGATGTCTTTAATGAATTGTGCTGATTTGGGGGGAGGCTGGGGGGCCTTGCTTTCCTGTGGCTGAGCTACGACAAATAAATCTGAGCAGAAGCACTGGAGCGATGGAAAATATCCTCTCCCCCCCCCCAAAAAAAAACCACAAAGGAGCCTCTAGTTGAAGTTATTTTTTATTTATATATTTGTATCCTGCCATTGTTATTTTTACAAATAACTCAAGGCAGCGAATATATCCGACACAGATTCCTCCTCCCATTGTCCCTACAACAGCCTTGTGAAGCGGGTTCGTCTGAGAGAGAGGGAACTGGCCCAGCTTTTATGCCTAAAGTTGGACTAGAACTCACCGCCTCCTAGTGGTTGGCCCAAAGTCACCCAGCCAGCTTTCATGCCTAAAGTGGGACTAGAATTCACCGTCTCTTGCAAATTGGCCCAAGTCAACTGGCTTGCACACATAAGTCGGACTAGAACTCATTGTCTCCTGGTAATTGGCCCAAAGTCACCCAATTGGCTTTCATGCCTAAGGCAGGACTAGAACTCACCATCTCCTGGTGATTGGCCCAAAGTCATTCAACTGGCTTCCATGCCTAAGGTGGGACTAGAACTCACCATCTCCTGGTGATTGGCCCAAAGTCATTCAACTGGCTTCCATGCCTAAGGTGGGACTAGAACTCACTGCCTCCCACTTAACTAACCACTTACTGTTCTTATTAAGCGCTGTGTTTTGAGGAGTTGAGGTGGAAGCGAGACAGAGAACTGTTAGGATACTTTCTCTGAAGTTCTTCTGCTGAACTTTTTTGAAGTTCCTGGGCTGTATTTCTCAGAAGCCTTTCAGCTTTACAGTTCTAGAAAACTGTCTCTGCATCAGGAACGCAGGAGAGCTTTCTAAAGCTCCCGGATATTGTTTTCATGTGCAGCCTTAAAATAACACATTAACAGGAACTTTATTAATCCAGCAATCAAATAAATGCAGGTGATTGGCTGCCCCAAAAATCACTGAGGGTTATTGTTGCTGTCAGAAATACAGCAACAAGAACCTGAGTTTTATATGCCTTTTAAGCTTCTAGATGAGTGTAGCATTTTGTTTTTTGACATACCAAGACGCGGTCGGCAAGAATTCCCACTGGGTTTGGCCATGGGGATATTGCATTTCTATTTATCCTGCCAAGACAGAGAAGCCCATTGTAGCTCCTGATTTAATTAATGAGCTCTTTAAAAAAAACACCAGCCTTTTACAAGGAGCAGCTCCACATAATATTAGTTGAACAAAATAATAGAAGTTGAATGAAAAGCCGCTTTTGCATGATCCATTCTGGGATTTGATGGCCATGATCTTATTCATAACAACCAAATGCTAGGATGGATCAATTCAAAGGCGGCTTTGAATGAAAATCCTCCTTAATAGAATTAGGAACTATAGAAAACTAGTAAGGATTATTGGCCTAGTTGGCAAAAACATTCCAGCAGATAATCTCATCCTTTTCCGACTTTTAACATTTCACTTTCCGTTTTTGAACCTGTTCAAACTGATCTACAAACTTATAAGCCTATTAACTCCTCTCCTTTCTTTTAAAACGCCAATTAATGGTAATCCTTCAGATTGCTTGGTATTTTAAGGTCAGTGGCTTGCCTGAAGCCCACCCGTTGTTAGTCACGCTTTTCTCATTCACAAAAGTGTTTCTTCTCTTCTCCCAACATCCTGCTGACGAAGCTCTGAATTGAAAAAAAAAAAAAAAACTTGCACGGGTAGTCCTCAAGATTCAACCAGGCACTTAAGATGCTGCAGCACTGGGCAGGCTGCATTACAGAGCAATTTGTCTGGGGGGGGGTGTGTGGCAGCCTCATGAAAGCAACTGCCATCTTGGCACGCCTGCAAGGAATTCTGGGAGGCAGCTACGTGGCCTAGGGAAGCGTGGCCTGCCCTCCTTCCCCAAGGTGAGGTCTGGAGAGCTCCGAAGGCTGTTGGGCCTGGTGGGGTGGAAATCAGGCCTAAAGCCCACGGGGAACTCCTGGGGGAAGGAAATGCCTGCAGGGGCCCAAGGAGTGGGAAGCAGAGCACAAGGGTCTTGGGGGGAGGGCTTTAGGAGACCTGGGGCAGGTGGGCCTGGGCCTGCGCTAGACCTGCACCTCTGAGGCCCTCCGTGCTCTGCTTCAACAATCCACACGTCCACATCGAGGAGGGCAGAAGGTGAAAGGTCATTAGGGCCTAGAACTAAGGAGAAACTTCCTGACAGTTAGAACAATTAACCAGTGGAACAACCTGCCTCCAGAATGCTCCAACACTGTTTTTAAGAAGAGACTGGACATTCAGACATTTGTCTGAAATTGTATAGGGTTTCCTGCCTGAGCAAGGGGGTTGGACTAGATGACCTCCAAGGTCCCTTCCAACTTTATTATTATTATTATCATTATTATTATAAGGCCATCTTTCAAAACGGCCATTACCACTTGCAGCCGTAACGGGCAGGCTCCATTTACCATCCTATCTCCAGGACTAGCTGTAGCTCACACAAGAAATTTGACAGGCTTCTGAGAAGATAGCCAACCATCTCCTCCTCCTCTTCCTCCTCCTCCTCCTTTTCCTCCTCCTTTCTCCAAAGGTGACCATCTCCGTCTCGTGAACGCTTCGCAGACCCCCGAGGTCGACACGCTGCCCCAGCTTGACAATCCCGGCTTCGAAGGAGACGAAGCCCACGAGCAGCAAGTGAAATCTTAGGTGTTAGCAAGACTGCAGTTCGCTTGAGACACCAGCATCCCAACCATGAGGAAAACCGCTAAGACTGACGTAGCAGCCACGCTCCCTTGATCCCGAGATAAAATACACAGTTTTAAGATGGCAATTCTACGGAGTGGCCTGCCCTCTCACTTTATTTCTTTACTGAATTAGTTTTTACATCTTTTCAGCCTAGCTCTTTTCTTCTGGCACACCACCAAGACCCCCAAGCATCCCACCAAGACATCTCTGAGCATTATCATTTTTTCCTGCATAGAACTTCGGCTGTTCGTCCTCCAGAAGCATTAACCCACTGGGGTGTGTGGGGGGGAAAATGTCTACCGATCTTCAAATTAACTTTAAACTAATCGAGTTAGCTTTTTAAATTTTTATTTGTTAAGCTTTCGGGTAATGAAACCACTGGGTGTATGTATGCTGCTTTTGCAGCACTGGTTTGCATTAGCTTGGCCTTTATGTAATTTATTGAGAGGCTTTCATTTTCTTGATCTTAGAGCAGGGATTCTCAACCTTGGCAACTTTAAGACTTGTGGACTTCAACTCCCAGAATTCCTCAGCCAGCTTTGCTGGCTGAGGAATTCTGAGAGTTGAAGTCCACAAGTCTTAAAAGTTGCCAAGGTTGAGAACCCCTGTCTTAGAGGATAGCCTCTTGCTGCGTTAAGTTGCCAAGCAATTCAGTTTTTAATCCTGACTGTAAAAGACACTGGGAATATTTACTTCCACCCCTTTCACTGATTGTAGAGCAAATTAACACTATGGAGCCAAATGGACATTGCAAAAATGTTCGAAGAGAATAGAATACAACTATTTTGTACTGAAGGGGGAGGGAAGAACTACATAAAATTTGCCCTGTGTTTTTTTTTTTAATTGCAATCTTAACAAGCTGCCACACGGCCCAATTAATGGTCCGGTTTTTAGTTAGTGCTGCTCTTAACTTTGTCAGAGGCTACCTCAGCCTCGCTCAAAGGGATTTTTGTTGTTGTTGTTGCTGCTAGTCCAAAGAAACAGCTAAGTAAAGATACCCAAAGAGTACTGTAAATATTCAGAATAGGCAATGCATGGACATGGCTAAACTGGAAATTAATGAATGGGTGAACTTTTAAAATTATTTTTCTAACGTGTGAGAAGGGAGTAAAGGGAACACAGGGTTCATAGGGAGCCCCAAAACCTCATCCACCAAAGTGAATTACTATATTTAATAATGCACTTTATTTCACCTCTGTGTTTCCGTTTCTGATCACAAGTCTAGCATAAGTGTACTGGAGAACAGTGATAATTGGTTTTGCAACTTTTCCACGTTGATTCTGATAGGAAAAAATCAGTACGTCTTTCTCCCTTTCTGCATAGTGTTCAATATTTGTAAATATTTGATTTCTATTGAATTCCTTTGAATACAAAACTGTAAATAAAGCTATACTACGGCCTGTTTAGAATGTTCTCTTTTAAAATAATAATAATAATAATAATAACAGTTGAATATAAGCTGGGGCGTTTTTGGCAGTCTAGCTCCTATTCAGTAACATTGCAGAAATCTAGAAAGTTAAGATAGCTCAGCAGTACGCATCTCAACTTAAAAATTGAGAGCTAGCTTAAGTATATAAGACATGAGAAAGTAATCACTGAGATATGAAGAGAAGCCATCTGGGAACCAAAATAGTTGGTAATTCCTCCTTAGGTTGTGGAACAGTTGTCAAATAGCTGCAGATTTGGGTGCATATGACACTTCTTGTTTAAGGCAGAATTGTGGTTGATCAGAAATGTTTAATTTCCTGATTGATCACGGAAACCGCTTCCCCATTAGCATCCTAGTATAATGTAAAAGAAGAGTGAAAAAGAAAATCATTATAAATATCTTCAAGAAGAGGTTCTTTTATCGCAGTGGTTCTCAACCTGTGGGTCGGGACCCCATTTGGGGTCGAATGACCATTTCACGGGGGTCGCCAAACAACGCAGTCCACCATTTCCCCCCCCCTTTTCCTTAGCTGTGCTACTCCCTTTTATTCTATTGGCTTTCAAAAGCCAATAGAATAGACTCTCTTGAATAGAGTCTAATTCTATTGGCTTTCAAAAGCCAATAGGAATTGTCCGGGCTGTCTCTGCCCTGCTGAGCCCGCCAAAAGTCCCATTCTGCAAACGGTGCTGCACCAATTGAGTAGTCCTCGACTTACGACCGGTTGAGTAGTCCTCGACTTACGACCGGTTGAGTAGTCCTCGACTTACGACCAGTTGGGGGTCGCGGCATTTAAAAGGTTGAGAACCACTGTTTTATCGGATCTCAAATAGTCTGAGGCACTATGAAGTTCTGCCTTATATATTAAACAAAAGTCAGCAAAAGCTGAAAGATTTAATAGTTTGGCTGGGTGGTGACTTTGCCTGCATTCAAAAGGAGGAGAGGAAAAGTTGTAAACGTGGCTGCCTGATGGTTAAGTCCTTCGCTCCTATTGCCCTGAGCTGATTTCATAAATCTGTCCTGCCTCAAGGCACCCAGAAGTAAAATGATAGGATTTAAAAGATCCACGAGTTTGCTTGGAGAAAGAATGGATTTCTTCTCCTGGCCACCTGTGCAAAGAAGTCATGTGACTTAACTGAGCACCTTTGTATTTTTAATATTTTTAAACGAGGATATGTCTTCGGCCCCAAAATATATATTTTTTTTACAAGAAACAATGGTGCAATTCCTAAGCTTTCTCAATCCTAATTAAGGTGGTGAACCAGCCCACTTCCTTAATAGTGTATAGCCGAAAGGAAAGACATGCAAGGATGCTGAACAAGCAATTCTGAAGATTGGTCCCCAAAATCCTGGATGTTGCCTGCACCCACAGATATGTGAACACGGTTTCCGCGGTAGCAGGAGGTTGCAAATTGCTCCCATTCCTATCTCTGACTCCCGTCTCTTCCCGCTTAATGAACTGCACAGTCCTAGGATTATGACGGCAACCAGGACTCCTGGGATTGCTGTTGCTAAGCGATGCGGTCACAATGTTGTATGGTTGTTACGTCTTACACTTGTTTGCTGCCCAGTGTTAGAAAAAAATACAAGGTTAAAAAAATATATACAACCACATCTAAAACAAGAGTAAAACACTCTTAAAATACAAATGTAACGTAGCGTTTTTCAGCCGCATTGCTTAGCCACGGAATTTCTGGTCCCAAAGGGCCGTCGTAACTTGAGGACAAGCTTTAGAGCAAATGAGATGGTCGGCATGAAAGAAATTGCTGAAAAAAGAAGAGAGCTGGATTACAGCCAAAACAGGTGACAACACCCCCAGATCCCTATGATCCTCAGAAATAAAGGGCTGGGGGGGTCACTTTGAAGATGGGTGGACTTCAACTCCCAGAATTCCCCAGCATGCGTATATGCATGCATGCATGCTGGCTGGGGCATTCTGGGAGTTGAAGTCCACCCATCTTCAAGAGGAATCCAGGCTAGAAAATACTGGGACTTAAAGCCTCCCATCCTTCACATGATATACCGGCATGGATGCTGGCTGGGGAATTCTGGGAGTGAAGATATACACATACAAATACACCCCTACCTTTAAAGGCGCATGCATGCTGGGGAATTCTGGGAGTGAAGACACACACACACACACACATACATCTACCTATCTTTAAAAGAGCATGCATGCTGGGGAATTCTGGGAGTGAAGACACACACACATACATACATCTACCTATCTTTAAAAGAGCATGCATGCTGGGGAATTCTGGGAGTGAACACACACACACACACACACATCTACCTATCTTTAAAAGAGCATGCATGCTGGGGAATTCTGGGAGTGAAGCCTCTCTCTCTCTCTCTCTCTCTCTCTCTCTCTCTCTCTCTCTCTCTCTCTCTCTCTCTCTCTGTTCCCCAGCTCAGCCTCGCCCCAGCCTTCCTACCTGTCCACCTTCTCCCTAACCCCGCCCTCCAGCCGCCCAGGGGGCGGATCCCACGCAGCCGCCACCCCCCACCCGCGCGCGCGCGGGGCTCGCCGGGGCTTGTAGTGCGTCCCTCCTCCGCCTGGGAAGGCGCCCAGCGGAAGCGCCGCCTGCACTACATTTCCCGGCGAGCGCCGCGGGTGGGCAGGGGGGGTCCGGCCCCGCCCCCTCCAGCTGAGCCCGGGCTGGGCAGCGGCGGCGGCGGCGGCGGCGGCGGGATGTGGCTGAACCCCGAGGAGGTGCTGCTGAAGAGCGCGCTGCGGCTCTGGGTGCAGGAGCGATGCAACCGCTTCTTCGTGCTGCAGCGGCGCCGCGGCTCCGGCCAGGAGGGCAGCGGCGGCGCCGGAGGAGGGCTGACCGGTAAGGCGCCCCGGCGCTCGCGCGTGGGTCGAGGGTCCCCCTCCTTCCCTCCCCTCCCCTCTCCCTCCGCTTGGGGCATCCTACGGCCGGCCCTGCCAGGTGGGCCAGGCGGACGGGGGTCCGGCTTTGCATTGGGGCTGGGGGGAACCTCCCCCCCTCCGTCTCCCGCGCCACGACGACCCTGCCAAGCAGGCCGCGGAGGGGCTGAGCTTGTGCGGCGGGGGGGGGGAACTGGCATCTCAAGCCCCCCTCAACCCTTTGCAGGAGGGGCCTCTTCCTGGAGCCCCTAAAAAAAAGTCAGCCTGAAAAGGGGGGCTGCCTATCAAGGACGGGTGTGTGTGTGGGGGGGGAGATAGACTGGGGGGGGCGGCCCAGGCTGGAAAGCTGGCTTGGAGGAAACCCCCCCCCCAGGAGGGCAAAAAGTTGGGGAAACTCTCCCCCTCCCCCTTCAAGATATGCCGGGCAGAGCGTCGAAGCGGCGGTGAATCTGCTGGGATTTTGGAATGGAATAGAATGGCGCTGGAAGGGACCTTGGAGGTCATCTAGTCCAGCCCCCTGCTCAAGCAGGAGGACCTGTAGTACCGTCCAGCCTCTTCTTAAAAATCTCCAGCGCTCAGGCCAAGGTTGCCCCGAAAACTCGCTTCTCCCCCCCCCCCGCCCCCAAAGAGCCTTCATTTACAAGCCCTTCGAGAAGCTGGCAGCGCCCCCGCACCTCCGCCTCCCCTCCTGCGGGCAGCCAGTGGAGCGCTGGTCCCTCTGGCTGGCCACGACCGCCGACGTGACAATGGGAGGGAAGCTTGGCGAGCCACCCCCCCCTCCCCTGGCTTCTCTTGCGGCTGATAGACTCCCCCTGGACAGGGAGGCTCGGTTTAACTGTCCCGGGCCACTTGGGGTAGCAAGGAGAGGAGCTCGGTCGGGTAGTCCGAGCCTTTGGGAGATCATTCTTCTGGGGAAGAGGAGAGGGGGCAGCCAATGTGCGAAAAGGGGATTGAATTTTGGGGAGAACGCATCTAATTTCCCAGCTGGAGACTCTGAAGATGGCTGCAACTTAAGGGTGAAAGCGATGGATCTTATTCCAGGAAGGAAGGAAGGAAAGAAGGAAGGAGGGAGGGAGGGAGGGAGGGAAGGAAGGAAGGAAGGAAGGGAATAAAAGGGAGGGGGAAGGAAGGAGGGAGAGAATGGAGGAAGAAAGAGAGAAGGAAAAGAAGGAAGGAAGGAGGAAAGAAGCACTTGAGAGAGAGAGAGAGACAGAAGAAAGAGGGGAAAGATAGGGAAAGGAAGGAAGGGAATCTTGAGAGAGTTTTTCTAGTTCAGCTTCTTATTTCTAAACTGCCCATTCAAAACAAAGAGCCTCCAGTTTGGTTTTCCTTGTAACCCTTTATGTGTACATGCAGGTAGATAAATATAATTTAGAGACTCTATGAGGCTATATAGAGGTTTTAAAATAGTGGCCTGTGCCTCGTAGCCAGTGCCATGAAAATCCTTTTGTGGGAAAAGTACCCATTGCTGTTGATTTTATTTCTAGGTTTTAACTAGGAGTAAAATTTGCCCATGTAACCAAATAGCTGCCTTTTCTCTTTCTCCTGTATCCACCTCCCTTCCTGGTGCCAGTCAATTAACAGCTGATCAGACCTCTCTCTAAATGTGCCTTTTAAGACACACACACACACCCCCTAGCCTTTTAAGCTTTTATTTTGTAATAAAATCCAGTTTATTACTTTCGGTGTCCGGTTTTGAAGGGATGTTCAGAGTTCCAATATCTTCAACAAGCTTTTGTAGAAGAAAATCTTCTGGATCCAGCTGTTCACCCAGCTGTTTCCAAACCCTTTTGTTTTTCCAATGCACCCCTGGATAGATTACAGCCTCATTAAAAGCACACCTGTTACTGTTAACCATCAGGCTTTTTTAGGGCACAAGCTGATAGGCACCATCCTGCGGCAAGGAATTGCGTTGTGCTATTAGGGACTGTGTGACCTCCTCATGTTCCTTTTGTGGATCACCTTGGCTCCCAGCCCGAGGTCTGTCAGCTTTCATCTTGAGCCAGCTGCAGCATCTTGCCGTGCAAAGAGAAAGGAGATTTTTACAGATGTTGGGACTGAAAATGCAGTCTTTTGCTATAAATGTGTCACTTAGGAGGTCCGGATCTCCAAACCGACAAGACCAAGACTTCATTGTGATAGTGATGGTCCAGGTGGTTGTTTTCTTGGCAACAGGGCAAAAGATTTTGGTTCTTTTGTTAACATGAAAAATGTTAGTATTTTAACTGGCTGGCTTGGGTTGGCCTTTGTTCAAGGTTAGGTGTCTTCCTAACCTTGAGCAGGTCCACAATTGAGTTCCTAACCTTGAACAGGTCCACAATTGAGTTCCTAGCCTTGAACAGGTCCACAATTGAGTTCCTAGCCTTGAACAGGTCCACAATTGAGTTCCTAACCTTGAACAAGTCCACAATTGAGTTCCTAACCTTGAATAGGTCCACAACTGAGTTCCTAGCCTTGAACAGGTCCACAATTGAGTTCCTAACCTTGAACAGGTCTGTGGCTAAGTTGAACTAAGCCCCATGAAGCTTGTTCGCTAGGCCTTCACATCTGGGTGAATGGAGCCATCAGAGGTTTAATGGTTGTCGCTATCTGCAACCCTGTTCAATTGAAGCTGGTTAAACCATGGTTGAGTTTAAAAACCAGAGTCTCAGCTTGAGTCGTTTTCTCTGTGCAAGCTCTTCCTGAGTGTCAAAACCAGTTTCGTCAATGCGTCTTGACCTGCCACAGAAGGAGAAATATTTGCAGGATTTGTCCTTGGGGTGATCTCTGTCCCTTGCTGTGCTAGTGCAAATCAGGTATTGCAGTGTTCAGAGTTCAAAGTGTGCTGTTTATTTTGTGACCGGCTGGAATGCAAAAGCCACATTTGCTGGACATGGTTGATATCAGCTTCACAGGGAGTTGGAAGGGGGTCACACATTGCCTCAAATGACTGAGGCAGCCAGTCCTTGATGTGAACAATCCAATTCCTTTTGTCTATTTTAGCACAGATTGCTGACTGAAGCACAAAATGATGACCCAAATGATTTTGTTGGTGGTTACAACTATTTCCCTTCCACTTATTGTGTGGCAGGTGACGTAGAACGGTGAACTAGATTGCATGCAAGCAGAGTAGACCATATCAAGAAGAGGTACGCAGCCTTCCAAGCTTGCTGGTATTTTGTGTGTGTGTGTGTGTGTTTTTAAAAAATAAAGACTTCCACACATTCAGTTCAGCTCCTGTTAATTTCATGGTTTGCAGTTTTCAAGGTTGCCATACATAAATAGTTTCGCCTTAGCATCTTCCAGGATGTTCCCAGTTGAACTTCTAGTCTGTGGCTATATTTCCCATTCATAAAATCCAGTCCAAGGTTGTCAGATGTTGCCCACTGGCTGCAGGACTCCAAAATTGCTGCCGTTTTTAACCGGACAGAAAGAGAAATCTGCATCTAGAGACTCGTTCGGTTAAGAACATGTTAAGTTTGCTTAAATGTCAATGATATCCCATCCCCATTTTCCCTCTTCTTGTTCTGCAGTATTTGGGAAACCACCATTCCCAGATTTAGCTATTGTACGAAAAGATGCTCTCTGGTTGATGCCAAGTGTCATGTGTCAACATCAGAAGCGGGAAAAGCAAGGAGGGTCCCATCTGATGGGCAGGACCTTCCCCACCAGGTGCCACCACCTGTCTGATCTCAAAAGGTTAAGCAGGCTTGGTTGCTTCTTGAATAGAAGATCACCAGAAAAAAAAATCAGGGAAGCAAGTTAAGCGGACAAAGTCCTGGAGGAAGAAAACCATGGAGGACCTCTTAAATTAGCTGGTCAGGAAAGCTACTTGGGTGGGACACCATGAAGCAGGTGGAGATCCAGGGATCTTCTTTCATCATTAAAACATTGGCCATCTCTCTGCAGGCCACTAAGCAAAGATATATTTTCTGCAAGCCTGAGAAGGAGGCAGAATTGACCCATTAATTCTCATAAGTCATATAAAGACGACAGATAAGGCATTGGCCCGATGGAACTGACATTTTCTAAGGTCTTACATACATTCTGTTTTGTTTTTTCCCTGCCCCTCTTTCGGAGGTGAGAAGGTTTGCAGCCAGCCTCTTCTCCAGCTGTTGAAATATTAATGGCCTTGGGTTTTCAAAAGCCAGGCTCTTCTAAATGTTTGCTGCTAGCCTTGTTCCAGGAGAGACATCGCGAATGGAAAACAAGAATTTAGCTAAGGGTGCTGGTTTTGAGTCACAGGTTTCCTTTATGACTAATACTGCGGATTTACAAACCTCCCTTCAGCCAGTGAAAGTCAGTGGTGATCATATTTCCCTGCAGATCTCCTCCTTCCATAATTCATGTCCTGCAAGGAGAGGCAAGGTAGTCATTTTGCCTTTTTAAAAATAACACAGATTTCACCTCCTCCTTCGTATGCTCCATTTTCCTAGGAAGCACTTTGGAGAGGAGACAGGAAAACGGTTCCCATCCTGAGCCCAAATAGGAATCTTTAGACTCGGTTTCCCAGTTTTACTTCTGGATCTCTCTCCGAAGACCTCTCGGGATGGTTGCTGAAGTGTCAGTTTTAATATTGACGGAGACAGCGATAAAACCTATGTCTAAGCCCGTATTTACAGTTGAAACCTGACGTTAGATATTGATTCTCTGAGGGCCTTCCTATCCTTTCCTGCCCGGATCATAATTTATTTATCTTTGGATATCTCGCCGGCTTTTATTTGTACGCGTCCAGGCGACGGATAGGAGGCTTGTGTTTATTTCCTGCTCAACAGCCACCTTGTGAATTAAGCCTCACATACTTGCAGAAGGAGACAGCAATTAAACCCACCTTAGAGTGAATTAAATACATATAGTTCTTGACTTAGGAATTAGGAATTTCTGCTCCTCAGCGAGGCAGGCGTTGAGTGGCTTTTATCCCCATGTTACCACCTTTCTTGTCACGTGAATCACTGCTGGGGTTAATTTAGTAACACGGTGGTTGTTAAGTGAATCCGTGTCCCCCATTGACTTTGCTTGTCATAAAGCCGCAAAAGGCGATCACATAACCCGGGATGCTGCGACCGTCATAAATATGAGTCAGTTGCCAAGTAGCTGAGTGTTGATCACGTGACCACGGGGATGCTGCGATGGTTGTTAAGTGTGGAAAATGGTCATAAATCACTTTTTCAGTGCTGTTGTAGCTTTGAACAGTCACTAAACAAATTGTTGTAAGTCAAGGACTCCCTTTATAGTTCTACCTGCTCATTGCGGCACCTGTCAGCCAGAGAATTGATATCCAGGTTTATGATTTAGCATGACGTGCGTCATTTCTTTGAACTGGGCCAGTACCTGCCACGCTCCCAAACTTTTGGAGGCTTTTTTTTTACTGCTATTTGCTTTTCTTTTAACTGCTAATTCTCTCCCTTGCGCTGGGTGTGTGTTTGCAAAGGTTTTACAAGACCGGTTCTGTTCATCTTCCAGCGAATTGCAAATGCCGGTGAACCATGAAGCTTAAATCAACAATCTATTTATAATGTAGAAATAAATGGGGGGGGGGAGAGAGATGGAGCATGAACGTGAATAATTAGAAATTCACCAAGTTTATCTTCTTTGCATTTCTGGTTAAAAAAAAAACACCTGCTTCTTTGCAATCCCTCGCTTCAGATCGGATTCTAATTTATTCAGACCAATTGTATAACTATTTTTTCCGCAACCGTGCATGGAAACGCCATCATTTTTAACAATTTGATTCGTTCCATACTGGCCACACGGTCGAACAAAAAATATACACATCCTTGACAAGGAGCAAAGATTTGTGAACGCCGTTTCTCCGCCTCTGTTGTTTTTGCTGGCTTCCTCGTTCAATAAATATTTATTTTTAAAGAACTCAAGTGTTATCCTGTTGTTACGACCTGCTTTGGGATGATGTAAATGGGGAGGAGCATTTAAATGTTATTGGTACGTCAAATTAAAAAAAAACATGTACTGTATTTCTCTTGGCCAATTGCTAAGGGAAAGTTTTGCTTATCTAGGTAGTCCTCAACTCAGCCCAGAATTTCTGTGCTAAGGGAAACCTTCGTTCAGTGAACATTGCCCCATTTTATGACTTTTCTTGCCACACAGTTGTTAAATGAATCACTCCAGTGATTAAGTTAGTAACGCGGTTGTTAAGTGAATCTGGCTTTCCCATTGGCTTTGCTCGTCAAAGAGTCACAAAAGCTGACGGTCGTTAAGGGGAAAAGAGAGGAAATATCTAATGTGGTAGTTTGAGACTTGTCCTAAAGATACTTGTATGTCATTGAGTTATCGATGAACTCAGCCGCCACCTTGCTTTTTAAATAGTTAAATGTAAAATTAGAAAATCAATAAAACATTAAAAAAAGAATCCCTCGTTTCTCTTCGTGTGTGTGTGTGTGTGTGTGTGTGTGTGTGTGTGTTTTCTTGTGTCCTTGTGGAGAGGCCCTGAACTTTGACCTTGATCTTGCAGGTCTCCTTGTTGGGACGTTGGATGCTGTTCTGGATTCCACATCCAAAGTGGCTCCTTTCCGTATCTTGCACCAGACCCCGGATTCTCAGGTGTACTGGTCTATTGCGTGCGGTAAGTACAATAAATTCTTATGTGGAATAGAAGAACAGAGTTGGAAGGAACCTTGGAGGTCATCTAGTCCAACCCCCTGCTCAGGCAGGAAATCTATACCATTTCAGACCAATGGCTGTCCATTCTCTTCTTAAAAACCTCCAGTGATGGAGCATCCACCACTTCTGGAGGAAAGTCATTCCACTGGTTGATTGTTCTCACTATCAGGAAATTTCTTCTTAGTTCTAGGTTGCTCCATTTATTGTATTGTGTATTTACATGAAGTCCTCGGCTTACTACAGTTTGTTTAGTGACTGAAGTTACAATGGAACTGAAAAAAGTGACCATTTTTCACACTTACGGCCATTGCAGCATCCACATGGACATGGGATCAAAATTCAGACACTTGGCAACTGACTCACATTTATGACAGTTGCAGTTTCCCAGGAAACTGACTTTCTGACAAAGTCAATGGGGAAGCCAGGTTCACAACGAGCTTGTTACTGCAGTGGTTCTCTTAGCAAATGTCTTAAACAAAAGTCTCACTTAACAAATTGCTCACTTAGCAACATGAATTTGGGGCTGACTTGTGCCTGTAAGCTGAGGACTGCCTATATTTATATCCCTACCTTTATTATTTTTACATCCAAATCAAAGTGGCAAACATATCCAACATACCTTTTTCCTCCTATTTCCCCCACACACAACGACGTAAGCAAGCATCAAATATATTTAACTCCAACCCAATTTTGTCGCTCAGGAGCCAGCAGAGAAGAGATAACAGAACACTGGGAATGGCTAGAGCGCAACGTCATGGACACTCTCTCCGTGTTTGACTCCAACGAGGACATCGTAAGCTTCGTGCACGGGAAAATTCGAGTACGTAGAGCACATCGTGAGTAACTTCCGGTTGGGGTTTCCTTTCGCCCTGGGAAGCGTCGGGAAAGAGTAAGAAAGGGGTCAACAAGCAGCTGAATCCCTGATGATGTTTGCCGGCCCGGTTTGGCACACCAGATCTAGCACCCGTCTAAATCCCAGAGGGACTTTTTTCTGAAAGTCAACTGGACTTTCTTTGTTTTTTTTTTCTTTTTCCTTGAAAATGTTTCGCTTCTCATCCAAGAAGCTTCTTTGGTTTGTGTTCAATTCTTCAGAACTGAAGAAGCTTCTTGGATGAGAAGCGAAACATTTTCAAGGGGGAAAAAAACCCAAAAAAGTCCAGTTGCCTTTTGGGGGGAAAAAAAGCATCTTTGGGACAAAGGATGAACTGAAGGATTGAGACTCTCCGTAGACATCTGTCTAAATCTGCTAAAGCCGCATTGCCTTATGCAATTTCTCTGGCACAGAGACACGAGTTGCATTTTATTTGATCCTAGCGCCTACTTAGAAGTAAAGTTCATTGTTCTTGGTGAGGTTTACCTTCTCCTTGGTGACCATAAGACAGCAGAGCTTTTTATTAATTTATTACTTAATTGCCTGGCAAATGTAATCCCATACATATCAACCTAGAAAGTCGTCCCTTTTACAGTGAGTTCATTCTGCTTTCTCCCAGGTAGATTACACCTGGGATAGCAGGCTGAGATTTCTTTTTCTCATCCAAGGGACCAGCTCGGATCTGGTGCAAGATGGTTCTTATTGTTTCAGTGGAATTATCTATTTTATTATTGTTGTTTCTCTACTTTCCAATTATCCAACCCATCTTCAGATCCTGCGGATAGTCCTCAACTTACGATCATAGTTGAGCCTCAAACCTTTGTTGCTAAGCAAGGCAGTGAAGGGAATTAAAAATCTATGGAGATTGAGTATTCAGTTGTTCCTCATTTTACAACCTTTTTTTGCCAAAGTTGTAAAGCGAATCACTGCAGTTGTTAAATGAATCTGGCTTCCCCCACTGACTCTGCATGTCAGAAAGTCACAAAAGGGGATCACGTGACCCCCAGAACTCTGCGACCATCATAAATATGAGGCAGTTAAGTTGCCAAGGGTCTGAATTTTGATCACGTGACCTTGGGGAGGCCACAACAGTCGTGTGAAAAGCGGACATAAGTCGCTTTTTTCAGGGCTGTTGTGACTTCAAATGGTCACTAAGCAAATCATTGTAAGTTAAGGACTATCTGTACTTCCCAGCTCCCTCACCCATCTTCAATTCCTGCTTCCATGTTTCTTCATATTGGAGGCCATGATGGCGGTTGAATTTTGGCAAAGAGACTTTAATCTCACTTCAGTGAGATTACTTTTGGAAGCTCTGGGCTGATGTTTATTAGTCTCTTGACTCCCTTTTTTTCAGGGCTTAATTGCTGAGGAGAGTAAAGGGTCTTTGGTCAAGGAAGAAGATCCAGAGAAGTTCCGGGAAGCCCATCTGAAGTTTGAGAAGTGTTTTGGGTTGGCCGAACAAGAGAAGCTCGTGACTTACTACTCGTGTAGCTACTGGAAGGGGCGGGTGCCTTGCCAAGGCTGGCTGTATCTGAGCACCAACTTCCTCAGCTTTTACTCGTTCCTGCTGGGAGCTGAGAGTAAGTAAAGTCATTCATTTATTTTATTCCAAATGATATGGCCCTCCGTCTCGCTATGACGACTTAGGGTGGTGAGCAACACGCAACCGAGAGAAAATAAAAAACTTCCTCGGAAGAAAATTAAAGTATAGATCAGGGAGGACCAACCTTGCAACTTTAAGCCTTGGCTTAAAGTCTTAATGACTTTATCTGTGTCCTCATCATCTATCTCCAGTCTACAACACAGCAGTTCGATGAAGGCTCCCCACCCATTTGCACCACTCAGGTGATCCTGAGGACACAGGTAAATCTCCAGGTGGCCTCAACGACTCTCTAAAAGAAGGCCAATGACCAGCTGTCTGCAAGGAGTATAAATCCTTCCATTCTCCACCATCCAGTCGGAGCTGAAGAAGCTTCTCGGATGAGAAGCAAAATGTCTTCAAAGAAAAAGGAAGTCCAGTTGCCTCCTGGAAAAGCACCTGTGGGACAACCACGACCTGGATGATTGAGAATCTCCATAGACCTTCCAACTCCAATATTCTGTTGTTCTCCCCTCTGCAGCCAAACTCATAATTGCTTGGGATGAAATCTCCAAACTTGAAAAGACCTCCACGGTTATCCTGACCGAAAGCATCCATGTTCGTGCCCACGGAGAGGACCATTACTTCTCCATGTTCTTGCACCTTGGTGAGACCTTCCTCCTGATGGAACAGCTGGCCCTCTACGCCGTCCGGAGACTCTTCGACAAGGAGGGGTTTGAAGCTGACCCCACCCTCTGCGACCCCTTGCAAATCACTAAGAGGTGAGTAGTTTGTAGATGAAGGACAGAAGACCCACAAGGGGACAGAGGAGAGAGAGAGGCCTGTGTGGGCTTCAAAAAAGTTATTTGGATAAAGAAAGTGGGCAGGGCTCAATCGTAGAAGACCTGCTTGTACCAGGGGCCAGGTTGGATCCATGCTTTTGGGTGTGGTTTGCCTCGTATTAATCATTCTCTGTTTTGGATTAAGGTCCACAATTATCCCAGGTAGGAATTTAGAGCTCACGTATAGGTAGTCCTCGACTTACGTCAGCGTTTCTCAACCTTGACAGTTTTAAGGCATGTGGACTTCAACTCCCAGAATTCCACAGCCAGCATTGCTGGCTGTGGAATTCTGGGAGTTGAAGTCCACATGCCTTAAAATTGTCAAGGTTGAGAAACACTGACTTACGTTCATGTAGCGACTGTTCAAAGTCACTGAAAAAAGGGACTTAGGACCAATTTTCACACTTACGACCACAGCAGTCTCCTTATGGTCATGTGATCAAGATTCGGATGCTTGGCAACGGGTTCACACTTATGACGGTTGCCGTGCCGGGGGTCACGTGATCCCCCTTTTGCAACGTTCCGACAAGCAAAGTCAACGGGGAAGCCAGATTCGCTTAACAACTGGGCTACTAACTTAACTGCAGTGATTCACAACAGCTGTGGCAAGAAACGTTGTAAAGTGGGGCAAAACCCACTTAAGAAATGTCTCGCTTAACAACAGAAATTTTGAGCTCAAATGTCATAAATCGAGGACTGCCGGTGCTTAATTTCCCAAATTGGAATGAAAGAACTGTGAACGCCGGGGTGTTTAAATCGGCAGCAAAGGGAGACTTGGCTTTGTTCAGAATCTCCTTCTCTTTTTGCCGCAGAGGACTGGAGAATCGGGCCCACAGCCAGCAGTTCAACGCCTTCTTCAGGCTGCCCAGTGAGGAGGCGCTGAGGGAGGTGCACGAGTGCTTCCTGTGGGTGCCCTTCAGCCACTACAACACTCTGGGGAAGATGTGCCTTTCGGAGAACTACCTCTGTTTTGCCAGCCAAGATGGCTGCTTGTGCTGTGTCATCATCCCCCTGAGGGAGGTAAGGCGAGCAGACGTTCAGGTGAAATCTTGGATGGCAAGGGCCTGGTCCTTCTTTGGCAAGCAATGGAAGGAAGGAAGGAAGGAAGGAAGGAAGGAAGGAAGGAAGGAAGGAAGGAAGGAAGGAAGGAAGGAAGGAAGGAGAGAGATGGGAAAAGGAAGGAAAGGGAAGGAGATAGGAAGGAAGGAGATATGGAAAGAAGAGGGGAGGAGGAAGGAGATGGGAGAAGGAAGGAAGGAAGGAAGGAAGGAAGGAAGGAAGGAAGGAAGGAAGGAAGGAGAAGATGGGAAAAGGAAGGAAAGGGAAGGAGATGGGAAGGAAGGAGATATGGAAGGAAGAGGGGAGGAGGAAGGAGATGGGAGAAGGAAGGAAGGAAGGAATGAGGGAAGATGGAAGGAAAGGAGAGGAAGAGAGTGTGAGAGAAGAGACCAAAATGTAATTGCAGAAAAGAGAAAAAACTTGACCCAATATCCTTCTTACAGAACACTCTTTAATAGAATCCTTGCTCTCTTCAAGAGAAATATTTCCTGAAAGAATATTTGATAGCATAATCCTATATCCCTCCATGGACGCTGGGGAGCCTTACGGTTAGGATCTCCAGGTTGGCCCCTGAGTCCTGGCACAGAGATGGGGAAGCTTGGTCAGCTACCCACACATTGCTGTGTTGACATGAAAGTCCTCTTGGCTTCCCAACTTTTCTCTTCACTAAGCAAGCTGAAGATTGTCTTGAGTGGCAGGAGACGCTAGTACCAAACTGGACCAAACACGGTCAAGGAAACAGATTGAATGTTTGGATGGATATCTGGAGATACCCAACAAGCCCTACTTTCACAGTTTAAACATGGCTACCCTGACAGCAGAGCCTGATCCTGCTTTTCAGAGGGTCGGGGCATTTGAGACGCCTCCATTTGACCTCGTGGGAGCTTGCAGGATCTCGGTCTGATGACCAGCTGAGAGGGTGACTGGAGTCTCTTCCTCCCCAATGCTCGCAGGTCACCGCAGTTGAGGTCGCTGACCACGCCAGCAAGGCCCTCAGCATCGCTACCAAAGGAGCCCGGGTCTTCCGGTTCTCGGAAGTGAGAGATTTTGAAGCTCTGGTGCTGAAGCTGAAGACCAGGTACAATGCAGCACCAGGCCCCCAACACAGCACGAGTGGAGAGGTAAGGGCAAAATGTGCCTATTCCTGGTTTGCAGTGCCTGGGAAAGGCACTCCGTGGAGTAGAGCTCTCTTTTCTTTGCCTGGATGCCCATGGAACTCTCTGCCACCAGATGCAAGGGCAGCCACCCGCAAAGAAGGTTTCTCAAAGGCCGGTTCAGGAAGGAAAAAGCTCTAACCAAGTGTCTACCCCTTGGTTTCTTCTGATGCCTCTTGCAGGTCGGGGTTAGCCCAGAGACCACCCCGGTCTGGGAGGACTACGAGGGGCAGCTGATGGCCAGCCACAAAGGCAGCAGCACCACGGTTAGCACGGAAGCCCTGATGATCGTTTTTCACCCTCAGGATGCAGAGAACCTCGATTCCAAGATGGTAAGAAGAGGTCCCGGTTCTCATCAACATCAGGAGACCGGTTGCAATGTCTCCCTTTCGCCATGTTTTGCTGAGTTTTTCCTTTTCATATGGAGCTTCTGCCATCTTGGTGGTCTAAAGTCTTGGATCTTGGAAAAGATCCTTCCTTGACCTTCTCTACTTCCAGAAACGTCCAATTGGGTCTCCTACCAAGGTCATTTAGATGTTCGACTTTCTCCTACTATGAATCTGTCCCTCTGTTTAAATATGTCCTGGGTTAATTTAGCTCTGGGTTCAACACAGTTTGTCTTCTTTTAGGAAAGCCCATTACAACCCTGAAGACAAATACTATACAGGGAGTCCTTGACTTACAACAGTTCATTTACTGACCGTTAGAAGTTACAACAGCACTGAAGAAAGGGACTTGTGAGTGTTTTTCAGATGGCTGTGGCAGCCTCTCCATGGTCACGTGATCAAAATTCAGACACTTGGCAAATGGTTCATAGTTATGACGTTTTGCAGTGTCCCGGGGTCACGTGATCCCTTTGTGCGACCTCCTGACAAAGTCAACAGGGAAGGCCGATTCACTTACTAATTACTAATTTAATAACTGCATGCTTCTGTTAAGAAGTGTGGCAAGAAAGGTAAAATGGGGCAAAACTCACAACTGTCTCACTTAGCAACATAAATTTCATGCTCAATTATGGTCGTAAGGCAAGGACCACCTGTATTTAATCTTGCCAAGAGCATTTAATGCGTAGTCATTTTTTTTTTAATTCTGGGATGGAGCCTCTGCATTATCCTGTCTGTCTGTCTGTCTGTCTGTCTGTCTCTCTCTCTCTCTCTCTCTCAAATACATTCCCATTGAACTTTGAACCCTAACATAACCCCCGTTGAGGGTATCCCTGGCATTTTGTGATTGTGCTCAAGTGGCGTTTTGATCCCCCCTTGTTCCGTTAGTTAAAAGAAAAAATGAAAGAGCAGTCCTGGAACATCCTTTTCATAGAGTGCGGACGGGGCGTGAGTATGTTTCGGACGACGAAAACCCGGGACCTGATTGTCAGAGGCATCCCTGAAGTCTTACGAGGAGAACTTTGGCTTCTGTTCTCAGGTATGGTCCATATTTGGAATAATGGAAGTGATGAGATAGATTGCTCCATTTATAGACTGCCTTCCTTGGAAGCAATTGTACCCAAGTAGACTTGAGGGAACATCTCTAGATGATCGTCCAGAGGTGCTTTTTTCAGGAGGCAAGTGGACTTTCTTGTTTTTCTTTGAAGGCGTCTCGCTTCTCGTCCAAGAAGCTTCTTCAGCTCTTCAGCTTCTTGGATGAGATGCGAAAGGTCTTCAAAGAAAAACAAGAAAGTCCAGTTGCCCCCTGAAAAAAGCACCATTGGGACAACCTTGATCTGGATGACCGAGAATCTCCATAGACATCTCTAGATGACCCTTTCCAGCAGGTTGCATCCAGAAACGTTGAGTAGCGGAAAAGTCCATTCTCCTTCAGGTCCATCTCAACTCATTGCTGGCTGAGGAATTCTGGGAGTTGAAGTCCACAAGTCTTAAAGTTGCCAAATTTGGAGAGCCCCTGATCTATGCAAAGCTCTGGCATTCAAGGTACAATTGTAACTTTCCTTTTCCTCTGTGCAACTTACACCCCTGAGCAGGTGCTGTCAATGACATGGCAAGCCATCCTGGCTATTACTCGGATCTGGTGGAGAGATCTTTCGGGACGTGCACTCTAGAGACAGACGAAATCGAGCGGGATCTGCGCCGCTCGCTGCCCGAGCATCCCGCCTTCCAGAGCGACACGGGCATTTCAGCTCTCCGGAGAGTCCTCACTGCCTATGCCTACAGGAACCCCAAGATTGGCTATTGTCAGGTAGGCTGTACCTCTGGGCTCCCAATTTGGCTTACGTGGTCCAAACCAAAGTTTGATGCCTGTATTTGTGTAGGGCTGTGGATGTGTTTCATTAGAGCCGTGGTGACACAGTGGTTAGAATGCAGTATTGCAGGCTGACTCTGCCCACTGCCAGCAGTTTGATGCTGATTGGCTCAAGGTTGAATCAGCTTTCCATCCTTCTGAGGTTGGTAAAACAAGGACCCAGTTTGTTGGGGGGCAAGAGGCTGACTCTGTAAACCGCTTGAAGAGGGCTGTAAAGCACTATTGCTAATTCTGCCCACTGCCAGCAGTTCGATCTTGACCGGCTCAAGGTTGACTCAGCCTTCCATCCTTCCGAGGTCGGTAAAATGACTCATTGTTGGAGGACAAGAGGCTGACTGTGTAAGCCGGATAAAGAGATCTGTAAAGTCTAAACGCTATCGCTATTATACAGGTAGTCCTTGACTTACAACGAGTCACTTAGTGACTGTTTGAAGTTGCAGAGGACCCTTCTATACAGATAGTTCTCCACTTACAACAATTCATTTAGTGACCATTTGAAGTTATGTCACCGGAAAAAGTGACTTATAACCATTTTCCATACTTACAAGCGTTGCATAACCACGATTTACATTTTTGCTGAAATGTAAGTAAATGTTTTTACTTTCCTCTAAAGCAAAAATATTGCTCAGTGTAGTCATTGGTGACTGGTTAAATGTGCTCCTACGCAAGTCTCTTCACGAGCCCTGCAGCCGCCCTGCGGTGGCCGTGGCCTCTGATGCAGAAATATCATGTCAGCGAGGTGACGCTGAGAGGACAGAAGGCCAGACTAACCGTAATAATAATTGTGTTTGTTTTAAAGGCCATGAATATATTAACGTCGGTGTTGCTCCTTTACGCCAAAGAAGAGGAAGCATTTTGGCTGCTGGTGGCCGTCTGTGAACGGATGCTGCCTGATTATTTTAATCGCCGTATCATCGGTACCGTTTTGTTTTCGTTGGGTTTACTGTGATGATTGCTTTCATGAGTGGTGGGAGCAGAGATTGGAGAGTTGAAAGGGACCTTGGAGGCCGTCTAGTCCAGCCCCCTGCTCAGGCAGGAAACTCTATTCCATTTCAGACAAATGGCTGTCCAGTCTCTTCTTTAAAACTTCTAGTGTTGGAGCATTCACCACTTCTGGAGGCAGGTGGTTCCACTGGTTAATTGTTCTCACTGTCAGGAATTTTCTCCTTAGTTCTAGGTTGCTTCTCCCCTTGATTGGTTTCCATCCGTCGCTTCTTGTCCTGCCTTCAGGCGCTTTGGAAAATAAGTGGACCCCCCCCCTCTTCTTTGTGCTGCCCCTCAAATACTGGAATCCTGCTGTCATGTCTCCTCCCCCCATAGTCTTTCTTTTCTGATTAGTTTCCAACTGTTGTTTCTCGTTCTGCCTTCTGGTGCTTTGGGAAATAATTTGAACCCCTCTTCTTCAGAAATCGTGGGCGTTCCATCCCTTTAGATTTTTAAGAAGAGGCTAGACAGTCACTTGTCTGAAATGGGATAAGGTCTCTTGCTTGAACAAGAAGACCCCCAAGGTCCCTTCCAGCTCTATTCTAGTCTTTGTGGCAGCCTCTCAAATACTGGAATACTGCTATCATGTCCCCCCTAGTCCTTCTTTTCTTTAGGCAAGCCATACCCAACCCGTTCTTCATAAGGCCTTTAATCGTTTTGGCACTTCTTCCAAGGTCTCTGCATCCTTTTTGTAATGTAGTTTACCAAAACTGGAGGCAGGATTCCAGGAGTGGCCTTGTTGTTGTTAATTGCAAAGTCGTGTCCGACCCATCGCGACCCCATGGACAACGTTCCTCCAGGTCTTCCTGTCCTCTACCATCTTCTGGAGTCCATTTAAGTTCACACCTCCTGCTTCAGTGACTCCATCCAGCCATCTCATTCTCTGTCGTCCCCTTCTTCTATTGCCCTCAATCTTTCCCAGCATTAGGCCCTTCTCCAGTGAGTCCTTCCTTCTCATTAGGTGGCCAAAGTATTTGAGTTTCAACTTCAGGATCTGGCCTTCTAAAGAGCAGTCAGGGTTCATCTCTTCTAGGACTGACCGGTTCGAACGCCTTGCAGTCCAAGAGACTCGCAGGAGTCTTCTCCAGCACCAGAGTTCAAAGGCCTCAATTCTTTGGCGCTCAGCCTTTCTTATGGTCCAAGGAGTGGCCTTACTAGGGCTTTATAAAGCGGTACTAAGACCTCACGTGATCTTGATTCTATGCCTCTGTTTGTACAACCCAGGACTGTATTGGCTTTTTTGGCTGCTGCCGCACACGGCTGGCTCAGGTTTAGAGGATCCTCCACGAGGACTCCAAGGTCCCTCTCACAGTTCCTGTTTTTGAGTTTGTAAAATGTGGGTTTCTGAGTTTGCGTCCGCTGCTGGGTAACCAGACGTCTCTTTCAGGTGCCTTGGTAGATCAGGCCGTGTTCGAGGACCTGATCCGTGACTACTTGCCGCAGCTGACGGAGCACATGACCGACATGACGTTCTTCTCCTCCGTCTCGCTCTCCTGGTTCCTCACCCTCTTCGTCAGCGTCCTGCCCATTGAGAGCGCTGTCAACGTGGTGGATTGCTTCTTCTACGACGGCATCAAGGCCATTCTGCAGCTGGGCCTGGCCGTGCTTGACTACAACGTGGACAAGCTGGTGGCCTGCAAGGACGACGCAGAAGCCGTAACAGTCCTCAACAGGTGCTGGTGTGGCGGCTGTTTGTGGGTTGATGGTAGCTGTGTTTGCATTTAGGGCTGGGCTACAGGTTGTGCAATGGTGTGGGCGTATCTATTTGTTTTCCACCTTTATTATTTTTTACAAGTAAGGCAGTGGACGGATCCAACAGACCTTCCTCCTCATATTTTCCCCACAACAACAGTCCTGTGAGGTGGGCTGGGTTGAGAGAGAGAGGGACTGGACCTAAGTCACCCAGCTGGCTTTCATGGAGAAAGCAGGACTAGAATTCACAGTCTCCTGGTGATTAGCCCACAGTCACCCAGCCAGGTTTTATACCTAAGGCGGGATTAGAATTCTCTGTCTCCTGGTGATTGGCTCACTCAGTGGGTTTTTCATGTCTAAGCCAGAACTAGAACTCCCAGTCTCCTGGTGATTGGCCCAAAGTCACCCAGTTGGCTTTCATGCCTGAGGCGGGACTAGAAGTCCCAGTCTCCTGGTGATTGGTTGAAAGTCACCCAGTTGGCTTTCATGTCTAAGGTGAGACTAGAACTCACCATCTCCCGTTTTTTTTTAGTCTAGCACCTTAACCGCTAGACCAAGCCGGCTCATAATATGGGTGTGCACAGAGCGGTTAATGTGTGCAAGGGAACACAATTCACACAATCCTTTTCCTTGAATCAAGGTTTTTTGAGAGTGTGACCAACAAGGACAGCCCACTACCTCCAGCAGTTCAGCAGGCCTCTGGGATGAGCGAAAGCAAAACCCCTCACCCCAGAGTGGACATCACAGACCTCATTCGAGAATCCAACGAGGTTTGTTTGACACTTTCTTCTCCGCTTTCGCCTCAGAAGAAGAATCGGTAATTTGCTGTATCGTGGCCTGCAGAATGAAGCCGCCTTAAGGGTCCACTTCTGGGTGAAGGCCTTTCTTCCAAAAAATGGAATATAAAGCAATATAAGCCCGAAATTAGATGGGGCTAGGGGGAGACCTCTCAGAATGTTGATTGTGCTTAAAAGGATGATTGAAGTCGGGAGCCACAGATGTAGCCACTTGGTCAGTCTCAGAAGTTGACAGTTATGTTTGTATAGATGTGTTTCTTTGTTTTTCAAATGTGGACCTCACCTCTGGGTGTTGTGGTATGAAATCTTAGAAGGAGTGGTCTTCTGTGCTCTGACTGGAGCTTCAAATAAGAAGATTCATAAGATTTGGAGTGGTGAAGATGATGGAGGAGGAGGATAGGAAGAATAATTTTGGAAACCAACTCTGAAGGAGTTGGCTGTTTGTGCTGTAGGTATTGTGCATTCAACCCTGATAAGCAGTAAAATAGCATCTTGGTCTCCTTCAGAAATACGGTGAAATCCGATTTGAGGAAGTGGAAAGCATGCGACGTCGCAACAGACTATATGTCATCCAAACCTTGGAAAACACAACTAAGCAGAATGTGGTGAGTAGGTACTATATTTTGTCTATATCAGGACTCTGGTCATTGGTTTTGTCCTGGTATTGAACATAATTTATCATTATGTTTCATAATGTTTCATCATTAAGTATCAATTGTTCTCTGTTAGATAGATAGAGAGATAGATATGATAGATTAGATAGATAGATAGATAGATAGAAATACAGGCATAGTCTCACACCCAATTACCTAAAAGACTTTAGTTAACTAGAAAACTTATTAATTACTTTGATTCATCGGTTGAAATATACAGCTAGGACAATCCCTCAAACATCCAATCTTAACCTGACTTGCTTTCGTGTCGTCTGTTCTCAGCTCCGGGTTGTCTCCCAAGATGTGACTATCAGCCATAGCAACCTGGAAGAACTGTATGAATTATTCAAGGTAACATCTTGGTTGTCCTCTGCAAAAGACTTTTCATGTCTGTCTGACGGTCATGACCTCTAACAGACCTAATCAGCCATGGGCATTCAATGAATGAGTTGGTCAATCCTTCCATTCCATTCATTTGTTAGCTGCTATGATGAAGATGAAAGAAAAAGAGGTTTTCAAATTGATGACCTTGAGCTCCTGAATGCTTAATTTCAATAAGTAAACATCTGGTGATCTTTCCCAAAGGGGCCACCGCTGGAGTTTCAGAGATAGCATAATTGTCTAGGTAGAGGTTAAGGCTATGAGCTTTAATAGCCAACGGTGTTCAACTTTAGCACTGGATAATTCTGCGGAAAAACAACTTGATGTTCCTCAAATTGTCCCCATGTGATCTGATGACATTTTGCTCTCATTTATTTGGGTCCTTCTCTTGTTTTTGGTCAGAAAGAACATTTTCTCTCCTGTTACTGGAAACCAAACAGTCCAGCCCTAAAGCACCACGATGCCAGCCTGCCCTATCTGGACCAGTATCGGATCGACTGTCAGCAATTCCGAATCTTGCACCATCTCCTGAGCCCGTGGGCACATTGTGCCAACCGAGATTCCTTGGCTCTGTGGACCTTCCGGCTCCTGGATGAGAACGTGGACGGCCTGATCAACTTCAAAGAATTTGTATCCATTTGGGGTAGGGTCACAAATACGTCCCAAGCTAAGAGATCTGTAGAGTGAGCATTCGGATAAAGTCCCCTCCCTAGGTGAGATCTGGCTAGTGTAGATCAATTCAGTGACTATGGAACCAGTTTTCAATTATTCCCCAATAATGGAATCCCCATGGTATAAAAAAGATGCTGAGACTCTAGAAAGAGTGCAGAGAAGAGCAACAGAGATGATTAGGGGACTGGAGGTTAAAACGTACAAAGAACGGTTGCAGGAATTGAGTATTTAGTAACCAGCAGGGCTCCAATATTTGAGGGGCTGCCACAAAGAAGAGGGGGTCAAGCTATTCTCCAAAGCATCCAAAGGCCGGATAAAAAGCAACGGGTGGAAACCAATCAAGCAGAGAACCAACCTAGAACTAAAGAAAAACTTTCTAACAGAACAATTAACCAGGAGAACAACTTCAGAAGTTGTGGGTGCTTCATCACTGGGGTTTTAAAGAAGAGATTGGACAGCCACTTGTTATAGAGTTTCCTGCTTGAGCAGGGGGTTGGACTAGAAGACCTCCAAGGTCCCTTCCAACTCTGTTATTGTGTTCTATTCTGGACATTTAATAATAATAATAATAATAATAATAATAAAGTTGGAAGGGACCTTGGAGATCATCAAGTCCAAACCCCTGATCAGGCAGGAAACCCTATACCATTTTGGACAAATGGCTGTCCAGTTTCTTCTTAAAAACTTCCAGTGTTGGAGCATTCACCACTTCTGGAGGCAGGTGGTTCCACTGGGTAATTGTTGTAACTGTCAGGAAGTTTCTCCTTAATTCCAGGTTGCTTCTCTCCTTGATTAGTTTCCATCCACTGCTTCTTGTCCTTCCATCAGGCGCCTTGGAGAATAGCTTGGCTCCCTCTTCTTTGGGGCAGCCCCTGAGATATTGGAAGACGGCTATCATATCCCCCCTGGTCCTTCTCTTCGTTGAACTGGACAGACCCAATTCCAGCAGTCTTTCCTTATATGTTTTAGCCTCCGGTCCCCTAATCATCTTTGTTGCTCTTCTCTGTACTCTTTCTAGAGTCTCAACATCTTTTTTACATCGTGGTGACCAAAACTGGATGCAGTATTCCAAGTGTGGCCTTACCAAGGCATTGTAAAGTGGTATTAACACTTCACGTAATCTTGATTCTATCCCTCTATTAATGCAGCCTAGAACTGTGTTGGCTTTTTTGGCAGCTGCAGCACACGGCTGGCTCCTATTTAAATGATTGTCCACTAGGACTTTGAAATCTGATCATCTCCATTGCATATGAACCTCCTTGAATGGCCTCTTTGCTTTTATTTATTTTTCCTTTCCTCCCTTTTTATTAGACGTCCTGTATCATGGAAGCTTCACCCATAAGCTGACCCTGCTTTTCAAATTGCACATTCCACCAGGTGAGTCATGTGGAGGTATTGTGTTTAAGTCCTTGCTTTTCATGTTGAAAACCATCCAAGTCAATTTGAATCATGACGGACCCAAGGTAACTCCTTCCCCAGCCAGGAAACCCATTAACCAAGGACATCATCCTTCATCCCTAAAATGCTATTTATTTCTTTTTAAAGTAGGGCAAATAAACAGAGGCTGAGACAGGAACTCATGACACATACACTCTGTCTCCTGCTGTTGTGAAGTTTAAAGCCATCTTTGAATCCTTGTGACTTCCTTTTTTTAAAAAAATTATATTGTTGTAGGTTTTAATAAATAATATGGTTTTAGTACAGTGGCATTTATGCAGTACTGATTGAAGAATATTGACATTCTGCTGTTTAAATTATTTAAACTCAATATAAATTACTTAGATTTCAATAGTGCATTGAGGGCAAAGAAAAGAGAAAGAGGTATTATATCAATATTATTTACAATTTACAATATTTATAATATTAGTATACGGTCAGTGTTATTGACCATGAGATTATTTAGCTTTTTCTTCCAGAAATGAATATAACGTTAGAAAAAGAAATTCTGCTGCACAGATTGTACAGCATTGTATTGTTATACAATAAAAGTTTCAGTCGAGCTCAGTACTCAAGGTTAAAGTCTAGACCGTACTGTTATTTAATTTGTTTGTAATGTAGCAAAGGAAAAAAATGCTTAAGGATAGCAAATTTAACAGTCATCAAAATAGTAGAGAACAAAGAAAAAAAGAGAAAGAAAAAACATTCGGTTTTTAACTTCCCCTCTTCTATGCAAACTGCTAATTTATAATATCAGATTTAGCTAAAGTTTAAAAAGTTAATTTATACGTTTTTGGAACCCTTTAGAAGTCATACGGTTGCTATATCTTCCAGGCTGTGTGATGCATTGTATATAATCCTTTTGATTTTTAACTTGTTCTTTTTTTCTTTTGACAGCTTTTACCGAAGTGGAATCGCTGAGCCCTTTTAAAGGAGCTCAACTCTCTAAAGAAGAATTGATCCATTTCAGTCAACTGAGTGGTAAGTGTCAACGTGTCTAACTTCTGCTTGTGAAAGCCAAGGAGGTCTTCTGGAAATTAGGGTGGAGCTGATCCTTTGCCACAAGCTCAGAATCCATTCTCTTGAGTAAAAGTATGATCCATGGTGACTCCGTGGTTAGAGTGCAGTACTACTGGCTAATTCTGCTGACAGCCGGCAGTTTGGCAGTTCAATTCTCACCAGCTCAAGGTTGACTCAGCCTTCCATCCTTCCGAGGTTGGTAAAATAAGGACCCAGATTCTTGGGGGCAATAAGCTGACTCTAAACCGCTTAGAGCGGGCTATAAAGCACTGTAAATTGGTATATAAGTCCAAGTGCTATTGCTATTGCTAATTGCAAGCACTTGAATAAGTCTTGGTCAACCTTATTGGCAGTGTTAGTGTCATCTTGTGGACCAGGTCATAACTCAGTGGTGGAGAGTCTCAAGTTTAATTCTTGGGATCTCTAACAGAAGGATCTCCGAGGAGCAAAGATCACTTTCTTGCTGTATATCAGGGTCTCTCAACCTTGTCAACTTTAAGAGAGGCATTGACTTCAACTCTCAGAAAGCTTGAAGTTCACACAGCTTAAAGTTGACAAGGTTGAGAAGCACTGCAGTAGACAAAGTACATCTAGTCTTTGACTAGCTAGTTCGTTTAGTGACCGGTCAAAGTTACAACGGGCCTAGAAAAAGTGACTTCACGACCATTCCAGCTTCACCATAGTCACATGATCAAAATCCAGACTCTTGGCAACTGACATGTACTTATGACAGTTGCAGTGTCCCAGGGTCACATGATCACCTCTTGTGTCCTCAATTGTGGTCATTAAGTTGAGGACTGCCTGTAAATACTCCTCCTCTACATGGATGGATAATGCATTTAATATCTTGGATGGATCAGAAGTATCTTTTTTCCCTCTTCTTCATCTTAGTTTCCTCTCCTGAAGATAAAGCAGATGCTTTAAAGACAAGTCCTGAAAAAGGTAGGTGGCCTGGACTTAGCCAGAGATTGGAGGTGTACCGTTGAAGGCTGCCCATCGTAAAAGTGTGAAATTTGAGTCCACCTTGGCCTCTGTATCCATCTTGCCTTTCGCCTTCATGACCGTCGACAGGCACAGTTTTTAAGAATCTTAACTTTGGGGATCAGAGTTGAGGTTGACCACAGCTTAATTTGCATCCGTTAATGTTCCCTTCTGATGTGCTATTGTTGGCAGTCTTTTTGAAGCCATGCTGAAGGAAGGAAGAAGGAGGCCAAGCTTGTAGGGATTAGCAAGAAATCCTGGTTTGATTTGCAGGCTGGCATTAAGAGTGTAAAGTATAAAAGAAAGAGAAAATGTACTGGCGGGTGTAATATTGGAAGCTTATATGTACCACAGAATTACTAAGGGACTCAGTCATCACTCGGTTGTCTATGGAGCACTTGTTTGTGAAAATAAAAAAAACATTTATTAAAAAAAAAGAGTGTGAAGTACAAGACTTGCAGGGTAGCAGGGCAGAAATAGGAAAGCCTTTAGTGATCTTGCAAATTCCATCCCTTCACATCAGGAAGCCCGGCTGAAAGTCTTTCGATTGAGATGGGATGAAGTTTCAGCTGGAAACTGTAAATGCTCCAACGTTACCCAAAACAGATCTGATTCCTTAGCAGAAACTCTTTGGGAGAACAGCACAATTGACCCATCTGATTCTTTCTTACCAAACAGGGAAAGGGAAAGTGGACATCCAGGCTTACTTGAAGCAGTGGCAAGACGAGATCCTTAAAAAGGAAGCAAGCATTAAGGATTTGCCCCGGATGAACCAGGTGAGAACTTTTCTGGAAGCAAGTATTTTAGTGGAGTATTTTTTTGTTCTCCATTAATACAGGTAGGGTGGAGGTGTAGCAAATATTGATAGAAGAGACTATTTGTAGCTCAGGGTTTTGCTGTGAGGACCTTAGGGCTCTCTTAGCATGGTGGTTTTCTTTTTTTTAATTTTTAAAAGTTTTTTATTTATAATACAGTTAAAAACAAAGATGGACATAACGTGACATTCCAAAATAAATTTATATATGATCTCTTCTTCTGTTGGAATTCCTTTATTCCTCCAGTTTTGAGCATACAAGCTTGGTGGTTTTCTTGCAGACGTTTTCTTGCAGACGTTTCATTACCAGATTAGGTAACATCATCAGGGTTAGGGTTATGATGATAATGACGATGATGCTACTTAGTTTGATAATGAAACATCTGCAAGAAAACAACCAAACTCAGAGAGCACCAAGGTTCCCATATAACAAATTCTGCTAAAGTCTAGAACATCAAAATATAGTCTTCTCTCACCTGGAGACCTTTAGATCTTGGCCTACAAACTCATAAACTCCTGCCAGATGAACCAGGAAGCTTGGAAATTATGCAGAGCGTTATTCAATGCATCTTCAGGACACTTGATGGAGAAATCTAGGCAAGATACCCATTTTTATGAGCCCTGGTGGCGCAATGGCTAGAATGCAGTACTGCAGGCTAATTCTGCCAACTGCAAGCAGTTCGATCCTCACCAGCTCAAGGTTGACTCAGCCTTCCATCCTTCTGAGGGCAGTAAAATGAGGACCCAGATTGTCAGGGACAATATGCTGACTCTGTAAACTACTTAGAAAGGACTGTAAAGCATTGTGAAGCGGTATATAAGCCTAAGTGCTATTGTCAAGCAAGAACATCCGATGTTAGCATTGTTATTGCCTTTCCTTCCTTCCTTCCTTCCTTCCTTCCTTCCTATTCTTATTGTCCTCCCTCCCTCCCTCCCTCCCTCCCTTCCTTCCGTAACACTGCCCATTGCCAGCAGTTCGATCCTGACTGGCTCAAGGTTGACTCAGCCTTCCGTCCTTCCGAGATCAGTAAAATGAGGACCCAGCTAGCTGGGGGCAAGAGGCTGACTCTGTAAACAGCTCAGAGAGGGCTGTAAAAGCACCGTGAAGCGGTATACAAGCCTTAAGTGCTATTTATGAAAAGCTGCTGCAAGCATGGCGTGTTCTGTTGACACACATGTACAGGCTTGATCTGAAAAGGTCTCTTCTTTTTCCCTTCCCAGTCCCAATTCATCCAATTCTCCAAGACCTTGTATAACTTGTTCCACGGTGATCCAGAAGAAGAGCTTCTGTTCCGGGCCATCGCTACTGTCACCGGCCTCCTGTTGAGGATGGAGGAGGTGGGACGAAAGCTCCAGAGCTCCACTTCCCCAGCCCAGAGAGGAACATCTCCCGAGGCTGGTCCTACAGCACCCCCGACCTCCCAGACGGATGAGCCGGGAGCCCCGCTCTCCAGCTCCGTCCACGAAGGCTGGTCGTTCGCTTTTGAGCAGATCCTGGCCTCTTTGCTAAACGAACCCGCCTTGGTGAGGTTTTTTGAGAAACCGGTCAACGTCAGAGCCAAGTTAGCCAACGCTAAAGCCACTCAGTTAAAATCAAGGGCTGGCCTGTAAGAACCCCTGGACTCGCTTCTCTTTCCTCCGCATAAAACAATCCGAAACGGGCGATAACGTTGAGCTTCAAGTTCACCCTGAGGATTTAGTCCCATTCCCTTAATAGCCGGGCGGCGTCCGTGGCTTTATTTCTATTTTTGTGGGGTCAAGTTGCTTGAAGCACAATTGCACCTAATCTTTGCATTTCAATACACCAGATTTTATAAGGCACAGCCACCAACACGGGGCCACTTGGAAGGGGGGGAAAAATAACCCCTAAATTGTCTCCTCGACAGTACAAGATTTCCAAGTTCTCACTTTTCAAGCCCCTGTTTTGCTGTGTTGTCTTAACGGGTAAAGGCAGCCATTTTTGCAAAGAGTTTCTTAAAACGTGGAATGTAGGGCTGCTTAACGGATTGAGGGCAGAATCTGTAACCAGTTTAGAACACCTATTTAGGAAAGTTGTTCATTTCAATGGGGGCCAAGAATTTTTTTAAAATATACATTTCTTCAAAACTTGGTTCTTCAAAGGCATTACTTGCCTCACACTGAAGCCTTCTCGGCTGATAGCGTTAAATATTTGCGACTGTGCCTACGTCTTCTGGACAGGTCTATGACAATCTGCACGGACAACTCGCCATGGCCAACTTGCCACAGTCAACTTCCTGTGGCCAAGTTGCCATGGGACAATTCTCTGTGAGACAAGAGTTAAAACTAGTATCAAAGAAATGGTGGTATAGAATCATTAAAGAAAGGAGGCAAAAGGAGAGACATTAATTAAATTGGTTTGCTAAATTGTCCTGCAGCGAGTTGTACTACAGTAAGTTGGCCATGATGAATTGGCCATGGAGAGTTGGCCGTGAGTTGGCTAAGGCAAGTTGGCCATGATCAGTTGGCCATGAGTTGGCCATGGCAAGTTGGCCATGATCAGTTGGCTGTAGAAAGTTATCCCATTCCACTTCTGGACAGTTCTTTTACTTAGTATCCAAAACAATGGTGATTTGGCCCAATTTTACAAGCCGGGAAGTGGCGTCGTAGTGTTATTTTCCTCAAAGTGTGAGATAAGTAGAATTCTGAGGTTCCCTTTGAAAAACCATCCAGTCCAATCAATGAAAAACTAGGAATCTAGAAATTCCAGAATCAGCTGCTTAATTCTATATACACACACCACTGAAATGATTTGGGGGAAACAGCTATTTGACGTTGCAGTAATTCCTTTATTTCACACACACACACATCTTTTTGGGTGGAAGCCATTGTTTTATGGGGTCCAAAATCACAAAGGTGTTTAGTAAAAAGGAATGGGTAGTAGTAAGAAAGTTGGATGCGATTACAAAAAACTCTTCTTAGTGTTGCCCAGATGGGTCCTCTGCAAAGGTTGAGGGTTAATGCTAAGCCAAGTTCTAGTACTTAAATCCTAGAGAGCGAGTTATGTTTCAGACTTCAGGCTGAAATCCTTCCAGTTCCAGGTAAAACATGGATTGTGAGCCTGAAGCTAACTCAGCCCTATTAGAAAATAGAACAGTGAGGCTTTATTCAGTTGGAACAAAAATAATTAGAATTCATTCTTCAAAGTCTTTCCAAGAATCTATTCCTCAAAGACTTTTCAAGTCTTTCAAGAATGAGTTTTTTTTTTAAAAAAAAAAAAAACCTCTATTGCCTTTAAAATTCTTCTCAATTTACCTTAATAATCCAAGCAGTGCTTTAGTAAAAGTCACTAATCTTTGCAATCTTTAAGTTAAAAAGTGCTGCTATTTTTTAATTCCAGCAAAATTGAGGATGGTGGCATGAGGCCTTTTGCCAACTACAGACAGGTATATATTTTTCAAAATCCAGTTGTTTTCTGATATGTCACAACCCCCCCCCCGTTTTCTCCAATTTAATGTGCTCCTAATTCTAACATAACTGAGAAATATGAACACCAGGGATATAAAATCCCAGTTTCTAGACCTGAGCAGTTTAATACAAGAATTCTTCAGTTTGAAAGTATTTTTTACAACATCTGGAGTTAGCACCACCATCAGAAATTCAGAAAAGTTTGATTTATGCCAACTTCCTTTTTCTTTCTTTGCTGCTCATGGTTACTAAATGACCGAGCTGAAAGATAAAAAGCGTTTACAAAGGGGGGAAAAAAATCTAGATATAGACATAGTGTCTTTTTCAACAAAAGTACTGTATGAAATGCAATTGTGGATGGCCATATGAATAGCATTTTTTTATAGTATGTTTTCCAAGAGACCAGTACAAATACTTGAGATAAACAAGTACACACACACACACACACACACACACACACACACACACACACACACATTAAAGCTTAGGATTGAATTGTCTTATAAACAAATAGACATGTATATATTATTATCCTTAAGAAAAAAAAAAGTCATAAATAATATGGTACGGAACTAGTTTATTTTCTTGTCTCCAATATGACAGATGTTTACAAGGGAGTAAAGAATGCCCTCAATTCAGCCACTCAAAGCTATTTTTAAGAATGAGCACTTTGATTTTTGCTTTGGAGTGAAATAGGATCCACAAAGCACCTCTTCCCTTTCCATGAACATAGTCCATCAGCCATTGCGTGATGCTTCTTCAAAGTAGAGCTTTATTTTTCTTCCAAAATAATATGTACAAATCTGCTGAAGGAGCTAGGACGTGGTTTTACAAGGATTGAGAGGGATTCCAGTCCAACTTGGTTTCTACACCCCACCCCGAAAAAAAATCCCTCAGTAAGACACTTTCTTGCTTCTTCTGCTTTTCCCCATTTTACAAAATACTTTATGACTAGGAACATTTTTTTTAAAAAATGATCTATATTTGACACCGTACAAAATAAATTCAATATTCAATTTTAAAACTTTGCTTTTTTCTTTTTCCCCTTTTGTGCTTTCTTTCTTTCTCTTTCTTTCTTTCTTTCTTTCTTTCTTTCTCTCTCTCTCTCTCTCTCTTTCTTTCTTTCTTTCTTTCTTCCCTTTGTACACAGCTAATATATAAAGTTAGACTTTGCATCTGTAAACCCAACAGCCTTTTTGTTTGTAAATATGTACAGAAAGTGCCACACTGGGGGGAGAGAGGGGGGAGAGAAAGGTGCTTGTGTTTCCACAATGAACTAAAGATTTGTCTCACCTTGAATCCTGCTAAGACTTCTAATTTCTATAACACACGTACAGGTAGTCCTCGACTTACAACAGTCCACTTAGTGACCGCTTGAAGTTACAACGGCACTGAAAAAAGGGAGTTGACTGTTTTCCTTGGTTACGACCGTTGCAGCATTCTCCCAGGGTCACGTGATCAAAATTCAGACCCTTGGCAACTGGTTCCTATTTATGACGGTCGCGGTGTTTCCCGGGGTCACGTGATCCTCTTTTGCGACCTTCTGACAAGCAAAGCCAATGGGGTCATTTACCCAGGTTTGCAAAACACTGCATCAGATGCCAGATTAGATGTTAGATCCAAGTGGCCAACGTTGAGGAAAACCGCTCTATTAATACTGGATTTAAGAAAAATCCATTGTTCCGGTCAGGGAAACTGACCGGTACGCACCTGTCCATGCAAAGCATGTTCTGCAGTTAAATAACTGCAATCCTAGGAAAATACAGATTCTTATAAAACAGTGATTTATCTGCCTGAGAGTTTTATACACACAGGTATACCTGAATAAATACAATTTGTTTGTTTTTTTTCTCAAATGTATGACCCTGAACTGTTATTAAACAAATGCCTTCCAACACTGAGCTTGGGAACTGGATATATCTAGTGTGAAACAACTTTGCACTAATAGCAGCAGGTAACCGTTTCACATCCCCAAAAGAAGTACAGCTGGAAAGACTAAAGAACAAATGTGCAAGCTGAACAAAGTTACCGGTAATCTTTTTTTTTTTTTTTTAAAAAAATGCCCCTTGCAATTACAAGTCATTCCTTTTGCAAAAAGAGACAATAAGGGATGCTTTGGTGTATTCTTACCATTGAGGAATTTAAAAAAAACTTCTTTTAAAAAAGTTCATAAATATATAAACAGAATTTTTTTTAAAAAAAAATGACCATTTACAAAAATACATTTTATTGCTAACCCTACTGACTTGTGACACTTCTTAGATCCAAGATTCCACTTCGCCAAACCCCTAACCCTTAACAGCAAAACCACAAAGTTTGCTTTTATCTTTGGGTGACAAGATTATTCTCCAAAACAAAAGTTTAATTAGACTGGAGGAGAAACATTAAGGATTCTGTACCCTATTTGGCTAATTAGGGAGTCGAGCTAGATACAAGGTGTTTTTTTTTTCAAAGTCTCCATTTCATAATAAAACCAAATGGACTCTTTTATAGACAACTCGAAAAATCAAAGCAGCTGGTGCACGACGACAGAATTATTCAGGCAAAAGTGGTTTTTCATAAATGATAGCAGCATCATTCGATTATTCTCCCCAAAAAATAAGTCCTTAAGGGAGAAAAAAAAATTGAGTTGCGAGGAAATTGCAAACTAAATACATCAATTGCACACTGAACAGGTGAAAAACAAGTCAGTCAGGCCCAGGACTGGCTATATTTCACAGCAAAGTGGGTTTTTGTTTTTTTCAAAAACTGCTTCTTAGGGTCTAAATTTATCAGCGTGTAAAATTTGATCCTGTATCAAAACAAGCTTAAATCCACCCACCGTGTGGTACGACAGCGTGCCAACTACTTGCAGCTCATGGCTGTGATTTCCTGCAAGTTCTTGAGTTCGGATTGCACTCTTCACTGGAAAGTCAAGCTGTTTTTTTTTTCTCGTCCAAGTGAGCTCCCAGTTCTGGACTGGGCGTCAAACTCATGTTGACCGACAGCTCCTTAAGCAAACGTACTCCCTCGATCTTCCTTTCCTGCGCCTGCTGAGCGGCAGGTTGAGCATCCATAGCTATCTGCCTTTTGCACTGCTGTAGCTCTCCGCTCCTTCCCCGTCCTTGGATGGTTGTTCCCATGGTTGGCCTACGTCTTGAGAAGGAACCAATTCTCCTTCTCGGTGCTCAGCCGTTGCTGCTCCCAAGGTAAGCAAGATGATCCATCTCTCTTTCGAGACCTCAAGGCAGCTGCATTTCGGGCAAGTCTTGTAAATTGCACGGCTGCCCTTGCAGATGATGGCTCGGGGGCTGGGGGTGGTGGAAGTAACCCAGGGTGGTGGTCTGTTGAGGTAAGGGACGTTGCTGGAATAAGTGCTGGTTCTGCCCCTGTTCGGCTGCACTCTGCATCTGTGGAGGAAGAGAAGATTGAAGCAGCTTCAAAGAACATGGACAACCTCAAGGCATCCTGGTGTCGGAAGGGAGCACTGAATGCAGGCAACACAGAAAGGGGATTCTGGGAATTGAAGACCACCTGTCTTGAAGTTGCCATGGTTGAGAAACACTGTTTGAGATTAATTGCCCCTTGTCCCATCTCATGAATAGAATGGAGCTGGAGGGGACCTTGGAGGTCTTCTAGTCCAGCCCCCTGATCAAGCAGGAAAACTTATACCATTTCAGACAAGTGACTGTCCAGTCTCTTGTTAAAAGCCTCCAGTGATGGAGCCCCCACAACCTCTGGAGGCCAGCTGTTCCACTGGCTAACTCCTCACTGTTAGGAAGTTTCTGTTTTAACTCCAGGTTGCTTCTCTCGATTAGTTTCCATCCATTGTTTCTTGATTTGCTTTCTGGCACTTTGGGGAATAATTTGACTCCCTCTTCTTTGTGGCAGCCCCTCAAATTCTGGAAGAGTACAGTTTTAGGTATTGCCATCAACAGCAAATAGCGCCAAATGGAAGTGAATAATTACCTACAGGCGTGTTTCTCGCCTTTGGCAACTTTAAGATGAGGGGGGGCTTCTCCTTCCAGAATTCTGAAATTTTTATTTCCTTCTATAGCTCAATATTGTATCTCCTTCTATAGCTCAATATTATTTCCAAAGCGATCGCAACGCTCCAGGTTTTGGGTTTGGTCCAGCTTTATCTAACCTAAGACTTTTTGTTTCATCTCTTCCTCCCATCATTAGCCTTTACAAGGAGTCTCCGACTTACGACTAGAATTCAGCTCATTTCCGTTGCTAAGTGAGACAGTGGCTAAGGGAGCTTTGCACCATTCTACGACATTTCTTGCCACAGTTTGTTAAGCGAATCACTGCGATTGTCAAGTTACTAACACGGCTGTTATGTGACTCTGGCTTCCCCCACTGAGTTTGATTGTCGTAAAGTTGCCAAAGGGGATCGTGTGACACCCCCCCCCCCCGGATACGAGCCAGTGGCCAAGCAATTGAATTTTGATCATGTGACCCTGGAACTGCCTGACAAACGTCACTTTTTTCCGGGGCCATTGTAACTTCGGTCCCTAAACAAAAGTTTAAGTCACGCACTATGCATATCGACGGTCGCACCTTGCAGAAACAATTACCTGGAGGTAAAGGTGATGCTGTTGCACTGGCTGTGGTGGCCACTGGTGGAGGGTGCTGGCCGGGTGGCTCTGTGGGACGGTCACGCTTGGGTGGGGAATCATCACCGAGGGGGCAAAGCCAGGGGATGGGACAGGGGGCCGGATGGCCGTGCAGGTGACGGGCTGCAGCTGTACGTCAGAAGGCAGACTCTGTGCCTCTTGAGTAAACCTTCCAAGGGGAAAAGTGCAAAACTTTGTGAAGAGACGGAAGTTGAAGCTTTCCTCCCACATCCATATGAGATAGCTGGACCTCGTGGAGAGGCTCAGACAATGAATAGAATAGAATAGAATAGAATAGAATAGAACAGAATAGAATAGAATAGAATAGAATAGAATAGAATAGAATAGAAACAAGAATAGAATAGAATAGAGTAGAATAGAAACAAATAAGAATAGAATAGAATAGAATAGAAACAAATAAGAATAGAATAAGAATAGAATAGAAACATAAGAATAGAATAGAATAGAATAGAAACAAATAAGAATAGAATAGAATAGAAACAAGAATAGAATAGAATAGAGTAGAATAGAAACAAATAAGAATAGAATAGAATAGAATAGAAACAAGAATAGAATAGAATAGAGTAGAATAGAAACAAATAAGAATAGAATAGAATAGAATAGAAACAAATAAGAATAGAATAAGAATAGAATAGAAACATAAGAATAGAATAGAATAGAATAGAAACAAATAAGAATAGAATAGAATAGAAACAAGAATAGAATAGAATAGAGTAGAATAGAAACAAATAAGAATAGAATAGAATAGAATAGAAACAAATAAGAATAGAATAAGAATAGAATAGAAACAAATAATAAGAATAGAATAGAAACATAAGAATAGAATAGAATAGAATAGAATAGAATAGAATAGAATAGAATAGAAAATATGGAATGAAATGGAAATAGAATTAGAGTTGGAAGGGATCTAGTCCAAACCCCACCTCCCATCCCCGCCCAAGCAAGAGACTCTACACCATTTGTGACAGAGGGCAGTCCAGTCTCTTGAAAGCTTCCAGCGATGAAGCTCCCACAACTTCTGAAGATAATACGTTCCATTGGTTGATTGTTCTCAGTGTCAGAAAATGTTTCCTTATAGTAATAGTAGTAAAGTTGGAAGGAACCTTGGAGGTCATCTTTCTAAGTTGAATCTCTCCTTGATCAGTTTCCATACGTTATTCCTGGTCTGGCCTTCAGGTGCTTTGGAAAATAGGTTGATCTCCTTCTCACTGTGACAGCCTTTCAAATATTGGAACGCTGCTATCGTGTCTTTAGATGGGCCTTTAAATAGAACAGGGGTCTCCAACTTTGGCAATTTTAAGCCTTGTGGACCAACTCCCAGAATTCTCCAGCTAACTTCTGGGAGTTGAAGTCCACAAGTCTTAAAGTTGCCAAGCTTGGAGACCCCTGTTCTAATCCTAACCCTATCTTTAGGTCTGGAGAACCCTACAGGTCTGGCATCACAACGCACAAGTCTTTTCTTACGTTCTAGAAAATTCTACAGAATTTACATTTACTCAGTAGAGCAAGATTTCCCACTCTGGGCCATTCCCAGGTATATGGACTTCAACTCCCAGAATCCCAGAGCCAGCATAGCTATGGCTTAGAATTCTGGGAGTTGGTCCACTTCACCTTCAGTTTGTCAAGGTAGAGGTATCCTGAGAGGAGGATGGCTTACTTGGTCTGCGGTCTACTACTTTGGGAGGTGTGATTGTTCCCACTCGCGCTGGGCATCAACGGCTGCACAGGTTGATCTAACAACATCCTGGGAAGAAGAAAAACAGCACACCCAACACAACTGTGAGAAAATTAAGAGAGCTGGTGCCTGAACGATTTCATGCAAGTTGCATCCCATTTGGGACCACAGTGCTTGATGGAGGTCCAGCTGATCAAAGAAGGCACCATTTGGAACATTATATTCTTCATTTCCGGCAGGTTAAACTGAGGGGCACTTTGCCACCCAAACTAGAATTCTTCCTATCTGTGGAGATTCTCAGTCATCCAGGTCACGGTTATCCCAAAGATGCTTTTTCCCGAGGCAACTGGACTTCCTTGTTTTTCTTTGAAGACGTTTCACTTCTCATCCAAGAAGCTTCTTCAGCTCTGACTGGTTGGTGGAGGGTGGAAGGATTTATACTCCTTGCAGACTGCTGGTCATTTGCCTTCTTTTTAGGGAGTCGTTGTGGCCACTTGGAGGTTTATCTATGTCCAGGTGGCCTCAACGACTCCCTAAAAGAAGGCAAATGACCAGCTATCTGCAAGGAGTATAAATCTTCCCATTCCCCACCATCCAGGCAGAGCTGAAGAAGTTTCTTGGATGAGAAGCGAAATGTCTTCAAAGAAAAAAAAAGGAAGTCCTGTTGCCTCCTGAAAAAAGCGTCTTTGGGATAGAGTTCCTCCTCAGTTCTCAGGGTCTCTCTTCATCCGTACCTTAAGTTTCCATCTGGGTTGTAATCAGATGGTTGTGGATGTTCACCCAGTTCTGGTGGCATTGGAGAGGGCACAGTGAGAGGGCCTGTTTGAGTAAAAACCATGGGGTTGTTGTAGACAGGCATGGAAATGCTCATCTGGACGGGCCTGCACACCGGCCTGGCCTGGCTTCCTCTCCCCACATGTTTTCGCTGTTGTGGCTGCCCCTGAAATAAAAACACAAATGCTTCAGCAGGAGTTTTGCAGGCTGCAGGGACGAGGGAATGGATTCAGAACCCACAAGATACTGATAGTCCTCCACTTCTGACCAGAATCTCTGTTGCTAAGAAAGGAGGTTGATAAGTGAATTCTCAATGAATTTCCCTTTCCTCGTCTAATTCGTATTTTGCAGTTTCCCTCCTAGCAAGTTATTTCTCATCGATGGAAAATGATCAGAACTGTATCTTGTCTGGTTTTGAGTCCTTTCTGACCTTGGTTTGTAATCACCATTTGATGGGACTATCCAGGAGAAAGTAATCCTATAATTATAGGTTGCCTGACTAGCGTTGGGTGGGGAAATCATATAGGACCTCACTAATCGATAGGAGAAAATATTTGTAGCTCAGGGTCAAAATCAGGAGTCCTTGGTGCTCTCTTGAGTCGGATTGTTTTCTTGCAGACATTTCATGACTCAACTGGGTAATATCATCAGTGCTAGAAGAAAGTGGGGTGTGTGGAGAGGAGGAGGAGGAGGAAGACTATGGGGTCCTTGGTGCTCTCTGAGCTGGGTTGTTTTCTTGCAGACGTTTCATGACCCAACTAGGTAACATCATCAGTGCTAGAAGGGAGAAGGGTTTGCTCTCTGCTTATACCCCCACCAAGCCACTAGTATATAAAATGAGAGCAAACACCACTCCTAGCACTGATGATGTTGCCTAGTTGGGTAATGAGACGTCTGCAAAGAAACCACCAAGCTCAAAGACCACCAAGGGCCCCCACTACACCAATCGTAATAATTTTTAAAAATGGGGGGGGGAATTACCTGAGTTGTTGTGACACAAGGTTCCCTGAGGAAGGATGGCTGGGAGGCCAAGGGAGCGCCACCAAACTGCTTTGATCCCATGATGCTTTGCTGCTGTTGGGACTTCTTGGGAGCAGCTGACCTGTTCCCTAAGATCGCTCCCGTTGACTGCCGCCTTGGACTCTGTTGGGACTGCACAGTGTTGAAGACCAAAGGCATGGACTGCTGCATGAATATCTGTTGGACAAGCGAGGACGGTCAAAGGGTCACTAGGAAGCCTCAAGAGCAGAATTTTATGTGAACCTCACGAGGCAAACTAGAGCCCAGTTAATAGTCATAGTCAACATTCGTATTTTCCGACCTTCTGCAAAAGGTGAACGAGGGGGGGGGGGAAGTGAAGGCAACAGAAAACCGACTTGTTGAGAATGTCTTTGCCAAGAAAGGCATGGCAGAAGACACAAATTGGGAGAAAAGGGCACAATGAATAGCAGCTTTGGTGTTAGTAGATTTTTGTGTGGACTGGTGTGAAAGAGAGAGAGAGAGATTGTTCCAGTTGGGACACCAAGACAAAGGACATTTTTGTAGTCTTGGAAACACCTCAAAACATTGCTTTGAGGGAAAAGAGAGGAATTTAAAGAAGGACACAAACCCAAAAGGTTTCTGTGACTTTGGGGCAAGGAAATTCCCCTACAGTTTAAGAATTGAAAAAACAAGCAATTCAGAATTACTACATGGAACTATGGAGAGAATATCCACTAGAGGTCAGCCAGCCTTTGCCAATTATCAATATCAATGCTCCAAAATTAAAACCGAACCTTTACAGAATAGGTGTTAACGTGATTTGCTAGAAAACCTATACGCTGTTATTTTTTTAAAAAAAAAATGGCCAGAAATTATACGTAGAGAACAGCCTCCTAGTTTTAAGAATTGTTTTTGCTAAGCCAGGTATATGAATAATCTGAAGTTATGAAGCATAGACCTGAGACGTTGGCTGAGATTTATGTCAGAAGCTGCCACAATGGGTGATGCATCTCAGGGATTTCTTATAGAGAATTTACTCAGAGCTCTCTGAAGATGCTGAACACTCAATCTTGAACCTTCTGGGCGAGAAGATAATTACCACTCAGTTGAAGTCAAACTATCTAACAAATGTTCTCTCTCAACAGCAATCCAAAATTTCAGGCACCCGGAGAAGCTGGTGTGTTAGAGGGGGGAGGGGGAGGAGGAAGAGGGGGAAGAGGAGGAGGAGGAAAGGAGAAGAAATGGTAGTGGTGGTGGAGGAGGAGGAGGAGAAGTGGTCGAGAAGGGCGAAGGAATGGTAGAGAAGGAGGAGGAGGAGAGAAGGAATGGTGGTGGTGGTGGAGGAGGAGGAGAAGTGGTCGAGAAAAGAAGGAGAAGGAGAAGGAGTGGTGGAGAAGGAGGAGTAGTGGGAGCTTGAGCTTCGGAGGTTAATCAAGGTCAACCAGGGAGAGAAGAGTCTCCTGCTAAAGCAGCCTGACCAAGATACCTGCAAATTGGAGTCATGCACGAGTTGCAACTGCTCCTTGATTACATGCAGTTCCTCTTGTTGAGTCTTGATGTCGGCTTGCAATATACGCGTCCGCTCTTCCAACTGTTCCTTTAGCTGGTGCATCATCCCCATTTGCGTTGGGAAATGGTAGCCTGGCTGCGAACACAAGACTGACTCGAACCACATTTCGCAAAAATAACTGCTCTCACCACCCTCTACGTACAGCACCTGCGCTAACTACTCCCCTGAGCAAATATTAAGGTCTCCTCACTACTGCAGCGAAGCATCGTCACTGCTTCTCATTTCCTTACCTCCCTTTTCCTTCCTTCCCAACAACGGCTGAGCTTAATGCTCTTTTCCCCCCACAGCTGATGAAATGGACTGATATCTAACCAAAATCGATGGATCATCTTTACAATGTCCCGAGATGTAGAATCACAGGGCTGGAAGGGACTCAGATGTCTTCTGCTCCAACCCCAAGGCAGGAGTCTCTACATCACCCAGGTCAAATAGCTGTCCAATCTTTTCTTGAAAAACTCCAGCAATGGAGCGCTCACAACCCCAGGAGGCAAGCTGTTCCACTGATTAATTACTCTCCTGGTCAGGAGACTCCTTCTTATTTCCAGGTTGGATCTTCCTCTGAGGAACTCCCATCCTTTGCTTCTTGTCCTGCCCTTAGGATCGTTGGAGAATAAATCGATCCCTTTTCCCTGTGACAGCCCTTCAAGTATTGGAAGATACTATCAAGGTCTCCCTGAAGCCTTCTCTTCATCAGGCTACACATACCTAGTTCCCCTAGCTATTCATCATACGGTTTAGCCTCCAGACCCCTGATCATCTTTGATGCTCCTCTCTGCACCCTTTCTAGGACCTCAGCATCTTTTTTTGTGTGTTCTTTTCTGGGCTGGAAAAGCCCACCGAAAACCACGACATTATGACTTTCTTCGCTCACTTCCAATCCAAGATCAAGTTTCCTACCACAGAGGGTGTCACATCTCCCATGCTTCAGATGTTGACACTTTTTAAAGACCCAAAGCAGCAGCAAGAAAGCCTGGCTCCAAGCTGACCTATGTCGTATCGAGTTATTCAGATTACAAGGAAGGAAGGATCTCTCCTTGGCTACAAAGCATATCTGACATTGCTTTGCATTGGGGACAACATACCATCACCGTTTGTTGTGCAGGTACAGCGGGCTGTGTCATGTGATGCTGTACAAGATGGTCGGAGGGAGTTATGATGCCCTATTAAGAAGAAAACAAGGGAAAAAAAGACATCACAATCCATCCACTGCAGGAATGAATGATTGCGGCCTTCTGCAGTGTTCAGTTTAATTCATGTTTCACACATAGCTTCATTGTTCAAGACCATCTCAAAGCTGGGACAATATTTGGGACTTTGTTACCCAAGATAATTTTTTTTAAAATGAGCAATTTCTCATTAATGGATGCTGTGCCTTACCTGGGTGTTGCCGCTGGAGGCGAGCCGTAAGGAGACCTTGTCCGGTGGCCCCAATGATAAGGCTTGCCGCGTCGGAGTGCTGGCATCAGTGTGCCGCATGGATGAGGTGGCTGCAGAAAACAAACCAATTTGGGAAGAGGTGAAAACCACACATGATTTTATGATTATGGGTTTTGGCCATGCTAGGAATGAGGAGTGTGATAATTTAGAAAGCCAATGAGTTCCTTGTTCTACTAGACTAGGGCCTTTGCAGCATAACAAGGTGGAATGGCTCCTCATAAGATTATCAAGGAACAGACACTAGAAAGACAGACAGCCAAAGGTCCCTCTGATGCTATTCTTGAGCATTAAACTTCCCCTTGGTTTCACAAGGGGAAAGTGTGTCAGATGTGACCCCTACATGCAGAGTCAGAGAGCGCTGTATGTGAAGATCGGCGGGAACTGTGAGAAGACACGGATACACCTTCCCGGCTGACTTCTTGGTTAGTGGGCACACAGTGTTGGGTGTTGATATAATCCTCTTGACTCTGGAAATGCAAGAAAGCTGACGGTCATCATCTTAGGAAAAGAAAACCAACTTGAACCTTAAAAAAAAATAAATACACAGCAACTGTACAAGTATTTTTTCTTCCAGAAAGTGACTTCCAAGATTCTGAGAATCCTAAACAAAGATTGTCCATTTTAAATCATTTTGTCGACTTTCTGTTCATCAAATTTGACTGTTCTGCTGGTGATGAGTTATTTTCAGAAGAGAACATCCTGTGCAGCACATGTGGAGAAGATTTTAGCTAAAGGAGGAGCCAAAACCTGCTTTTTTTTTCCAAAAAGCAATTGGACTTTCTTTGTTTTTCCTTGAAAACATTCCGCTTTTCATCCAAGAAGCTTCTTCAGAACTGGAGAAGCTTCTTGGATGAGAAGCAAAACATTTTCAAGGAAAAACAAAGTCCAGTTGACTTTTGAAAAAGCACCTTTGGGACAACCAGGATGTGGATGACTAAGAATCTCCATAGACAACTAGAAGAAGACCATTCTTCTAGCTCTCTTCTATGTGGTTCTTTATGATGTTGGCCAACTGGAGTGAAGCTTGCGGTAGAATTCAGACAGTGTCTCTTTACTGAACTGTTGACCAAGTCAAGAAGCCATGATTACTACTGCAAACCTTCTCACACTTCCAGTCTACGTTTGTTCAATTCTGGCACTGAAAATATGAATCAACTTCACTCACCAAAGCAACTATTGGCAGTGTTTTAGAACTAACATCAATATCCAGAATTGTAACAGACTTGGGCTGAATGCTCTCCAAGCTTCATGAATAAATAAATTAACTTAAACAAACAAACTTTCTGGACTCTGGCAGGCAGGCATAATTGAACCAGCAAACTGAATTGCCAAATCTTCAAGGCGTTGCAAAATAAAAATAAAAAATGTCCGCTCCAGAAAACTCTTCTCTTATGTGATGGCTATCTTTAAACTTTCTTCATAAGGGTGGGGAAAATAGGCCACTTGGATTTCATGTCCAAGGTTTAGAGATCAATTAAAGAAAGCTCCCTCTGAGTGACGTTTGGCCTCTCATTATCGAAACACTGGCATTGACTAATTTGACCCAATAAATTGAGCAGACACAACGAGGCCTTATTGATTCTTATAAAAGGCAACGGAAAAGGCGATTAGGGAGACAATCTGCCAAGCTCAGGAGCCTCAGTTTTTCAGGAAAAAAACAAGCTAACAGATCAATAATGTATTCCTTTATTTTCCATCCTTATATTGTGGCAATGGGTGAATCAGCACAAAGGTTATGGACAGATAATATTAGAGGCAAGGCATAACTCAGCAATAGCAAAATTGCTTAATAGTTATAAGAGTTCAACAGCTCAGCACATCTGGAAAGTGACAAGCTGTAGAAAGCTGAAGGTCTTGGCTCAACTCCTAGAAGTTCAGTAAAGGAGAATATTTGTAGCTCAGGGTTGAACTGAGGGGTCCTTGATGCTCTCTGAGCTTGGTTGCTTTCTTGCAGATGTTTCATGACCCAACTAGGCAACATCATCAGTGCTAGAAGGGAGTGGGGTGTGCAAGGAGGAGGCGGACTGTGGGGTCCTTGGTGCTCTCTGAGCTTGGTTGTTTCCTTGCAGACGCTTGATTAAACTAGGTAACTGATGGTGTAGCACTGATGACATTACCTAGTTTGGGTAATGAAACGTCTTCAAGGCAACAACCAGGTTCTGGAAGCACCAAGGACGCCTCCTAGAACTTTGCATTCAAAAGATGCTAAAAAAAAAAAAGAAGAAGACTTAATTTCCTGGATCCTGGTCATCAAACATCTGGAGCAGCATTTCTCAGCCTTTGCAACTTTTAAGATAGCTGGACTTCAACTCCCAGAATTCCTAGCTATCTTGGCTGAAGAACGCTAGAACTCTACCATCCTTGTCTTAAAGTTGCCAAAGTTGGGAAATGCTAATCTGCAGGCCTGTTATAAATGTGGAGCAGACCTTTGCTCATCCAAGGTAAGGCAGGTTTTTCCAGCGGGTCGATTGCAATTCCCATGGATCATGCTGGCTGGGGATGAGTGGTGCTGTAATAATTGAAGGGTGAGGAAACTAGATCTGGCAGGATAAATCCAGAGCATCTGCCTGTTTGACTTCATCAGAAAAGACGTTGACAGAAGAAAGCTTTATAGGGGGGAAAAAAAAATCTCTTGTGCATTTCAGATTCACTTGGAAACCAATATAAAGAAACCAGAAGAAAAAAAATCTCCAATCCCTTCTTCCAAAACATCAGTTTCCCGTTGCCGCGAAACCTTTGAACAGCCAAAAACCTCTTACTGGATCTTTCTCGGAATGTATAATACCTTTAAGGATGAAGAGGCCAATTCAATAGAAGATTCCTCGAGGCAAATGTCCCTTCTCCTCTCAGCTCGAACCTCAGCATAGCTTTAAAAAAAAGGGTAAGGGTGAAACCCATGCAGAATAATGCATCAATCAACCTATAAATCAAATGTTTATTACAGTTATAGACCAGCATAAGGAGGGTGGGGTACAGTCAATAAAAGCCTCCAGGACACGTCAGCATAGAAATAAAAATCTAGGAAAATTATGAAAAGCCAGAAGATATAAGATTTAGATCTATATCTCCCTTTCTTTGTCTCTCTTTCTCTCTCCCTCTTTCCCTTTCTATTTCTCTCTCTTCCTCATTTTCTTTTCTTTCCTTCCCTTTCTCTCTCCTTCTCCTTTTCTCTTTCTCTCTCTTTCCTTCTCTCTGCTTTTCTTTCTTTCTTTCTCTCTCTCTCTTTCTTTCTTTCTTTCTTTTTCTTTCCTTTATTTTTCTTTCTTTTCTCCTCCTCTCTATCTCTCTTCCTAATCACCTCAAATCTTACTGAGAGGACCACAAAGAATAAAAAGAATGGGCCTACTATTTCCTGGGGGAAAAAGACTATTTTTCCAGTTTATATAGGCATCCATCTCAAATACATGATCCTGGGCAACCAACAGGCAACTGATGCCACATTCTTAAGCACAATTTAAGAACTAGGCTTTTTGGGGGGGGAGAAGAGACAGAGGAATGTGGGCAACAGCATATTTAAAGATTATCTCCATCCTCTGTTCTTTTTTCATAGCCCATATTTATTGTTGCCTCTGGACCTTAAATCACGGTTAACTCTAGTTAGTAGAAATAAATTTGATCGCCTCTGGTCTCCTTGATTTGATGTACCATGTTTTAGATCAGTGTTTCTCAACCTTGGCTATTAGGTTGTGGGGGTCTCAACTCCCAGGATTCCCCAGCCAGCATGTTTTACTTAACCACCACACCCCATTAACGTGGATTTTTCCTTTCTCTATTGTGGTTATAAGTCGAGGACCAACAGAATATTGCTTTCAGCTTTCTGCCGCCTCCAACAGAAAAATATCCTGTTGTTTTTCCCTTCTCCGCAGCTCAGTTTTAATCATAATCGTTTTATATAACTGCGCACACTCCAGCATACTATTACAACACATTTCAGCCCAGGCTCTGTAGGGCAGACAAATAGTTTGTGTGCTTACCTAACAACCGTGTGGCTGCACACAATGAACTCAGGCTTGGAGTTCCACTGATGGTAGGTGATGTAATAATGGGTCTGTAACCATATCCACTGCTGGCCTTTGGTCAAGAATCTGTAGTAGCAAGACTTGCCTTTGCCAAACTGCATCACTGCGCATTAACGACAACAAAAGACAAGCTCTGTTAAACCCGGCTTGGCACACTGGTTCGTGTCCTCCTTCCTGGCATTGACCTGTTCTGTGGATGTCCATCCAAGGGTTATTAGAGACCCAGGAGAAATGCCACTGAGAACTGCAACCCCACGAATAGATAATGAAAAGGGCGGCCAGATCATGGTGCAGTTGGAGAGAAAGATGAGATAAAGAGAATTAAGAGAGAATTTTTGTAAACAAAATATATATTGGCAGAGATATATGGTTAGTGGGAACATCTGGCATGCTCTGTGGTAACAGAATAACAGACTAACAGAATTGGAAGGGACCTTGGAGGTCTTCTAGTCCAACCCCCTACTCAAGCAGGAGAACCTGTGTTGTCCAATCTCTTTTTAAAAACTTCCAGTGATGGAGCACCCGTAACTTCTGGAGACATTGATTAATTGTTTGTCAGTATCAAGAAATTTATCCTTAGTTCTAGGTTGCTTCTCTCCTTGATTGGTTTCCATCTGTTATTTCTTGTCCTGCCTTCAGGTGCTTTGGAGAATAGGTGGACCCCCTCTTCTTTGTGGCAATCCCTTGAATATTAGAAGACTGCTATCATGTCAGTCATGTTGATTATACAAATCAGCTTAGTTCACAGCAAAGAGCTGTAATCTTTCCTTCATATACCTTAGTGGAGAAGTCTTCTACAGGAATATGACCATGTAGATTGATGATTACATCTCCGTTTTGACTTCATGAGAAGCTAAATCCAAGTCAGAAAGAATCATGGCTTACTCTTGCCTACTTTTTCCTTCCCACTTGTTCGAGGATGGATAATGGCAATTTAGAAAACAAATTGGGCACTGGTTACACACATTACTACCTCCTGATCTGTGAGACGACTCTAATTTTGTGCAACAAAATCATGGTCAAGCTAAACCCTCCCTGGCTGGTATGCATGCCCCAGATGACTCTTGTGAACAAGGGCACTTACGTTGTTCATGGCACCTAGCGAGAAGTTCTAAGTCATCAGCATGGTAGTAATCATAGCCAGATGTCCCAAGAACCTCAAAGGGCAAATAGCCAATTATAGGTGGAGCTCTAGAAGAAAGAAAGGGAAGGAAAAAAGCTATGATTATTAAAGGTTGGGGCTAACCATCTTCTCCAGGGGATTGTCTATATGTTATAGACCAGGGGTAGGCAACTTTGGCTCTTTTATGACTCGAGTCATAAAAGAGCCAAGGTTGCCTACCCCTACCATAGATGATGCCATGCCCAGTTGCCTTTTGGAAAAAAACATGATCTGAAATGATTGAGAATCTCCATAGAATTTATGGAGATTCTCAATTATTTCAGATCATGTCTCAAAGATATTTTTCCAAAAGGCAACTGGACTTTTTTTTGGGGGGGGTTCCTTTGGAAATGTTTCTCTTCTCCTTCAAGAACTGAAGAAGAAGAAGGAGAAGAACTGAAGAAGCTTCAGTGTATCCTTTAACAGGTAAGCAAAAATAACTCCCAAGGAATGTGTTATTACAAATTTTCATGAGGACAGTTGGAAGAAGTTGGGTTTCTTGGTCTGAAGCAGTTAATAATGGGAAGACATATCAGACTTCAGATATATAAAAAGGTGCCCTGGAGATCCGAAAGATGCTTTTCCAAATGCAACTGGACTTTCTAGGTTTTTTTCCTTGAAAATATTTCGTTTTTCATCCAAGAAGCTTCTTCAGTTCTCCTTCTCCTTCTCCTTCTTCTTCTGTTCTTGAATGAGAAGAGAAATGTTTCCAAGGGGGAAAAAAAATCCCAAAAAAGTCCAGTTGCCTTTTGGAAAAATATCTTTGAGACAAGCATGACTTGAAATGATTGAGAATGTCCATAGACAAACCCCTGGAGAAGATAGTTAGGAACCAAAGAACCAACAAACTCATCACCCCAACTTCAAAAGGATTACTCCAAGGCTGAGTCTTCAATTATTGTGGTAAAATGGCACCATTTGTTTTTGGCTGATCAGCTAGAGAGCCTGTGTAGAAAGCTAAGGAGGATGACTGACTGCATAAGAGAATTGTTGTTGTTGTTATTATTATTAAATAATTCCACCTGAAGGCACAAGAGCCAATCAGAGTATACAACACTGATGCACCAAAGCACTGACTTCATCTAAGGAAGTGATGAACAGTTTATTCTGTCTCTGCACTGAGGGAATAACAATTAGGGAAATGAGTCACCTGGCGCCCAAGCTTGAGGGTTTTAGAGCTGGACAGGCATGTTGAATGTCCACATATGTAATAAGGTGACGGCCGTGCAATTACAGGTTGCCCTTGACTTACGATCAGAATTGAGTTTCAGAGTTCTGTTGTTAAGCAACGCAGTTATTAAGTGAGTCACGCCATATTTTAACAATTTTTTTTTTTTTTGCCACGGTGGTTAAGCATTTGACTTTGCTTGTCAGAAGCCAGATGGGGAGGTTATAAATGGTGATCACAAGACCTCCGGGGACCTTGCAACTGTCTTAAATACACGCCAGTTCGCCGAGCTCCTGAATTTTGATCACGTGGCCGTGGAGATGCTGCAACCATCCGGAAAAGTCACCTTTTTTCAGTAACTTTGAACCACAGTTCCCTTTGAACGATCACTAAGCAAATCGTCGCAAATCGAGGACTAGCTACAGTCAGGGGCTTGCTTAAAACACCATTCTTTTGCTATTCCATCCTTAAGAGTTCTACATGATGCTGTTTTTATTGTGGGTCAGCCTCCCTGACATTGAAGCAAGCAGCATATAAATGTAATAAATAAGATCAGACACGGTTGGTTCTCCTCTGCTCCCACACAAGCTAACCCCCTCAAAAGGTGCCATGTACACCTTGTGTGAACCCTGGGATGATTATCAAGGGAAGGTTTCCATTTATGAGAAATTACCTTCTGACAGCGACAAACACTGGGGACAAACAACTCCAATAAACATGGCTTAATTGCCCTCATTACCCTTAAGAACAGGCCAGCGTATCTGCATAGTGAAGAGAAAGACATCTGTTTCCTGGTAATATATACATATATCATATTTAATTCTGCCTCCGGGGCCTGCCTTAATTTCTTGACTCCAGAGCCAACCCTGTTTTGCTCCAAGAGGTTTTCTCTATTAAGTCAGCAGAGGGAGACAGTCCTTAAGATAAGATAAGATAACCTTTATTGTCATTTTTTTTACTATGAACATATTGGCCCATATTAAAAAAAAAGAAAGAAAAAAGGCAGGATTAAGGCAGCATCTCCATGGTCACATGATCAAACTTCGGAGGCTCGGCAACTGGCCTGTACTTAAGACAGTTGCAGTGTCCCGGAGTCACCTGACCCCCCCCTTTTGCAACTTTCTGACTAGCAAAGTCAACGGGGAAGCCAGATCCACTTAACAGCTGTGTTGCTGACTGAATAGCAGCAGTGACTCCCTTAACAAATGGAGCAAGAAAAATGGAGGAAACATTTTTTGTAAGGTTTTTGCAAAATACGGGCTAGAGAATGATGCAGGGATGGCTTCAGAATTGGGTGTGCTGTTTCAAAGGGGGAAAAAAGCTTTAAGCAGCAAGAAGAAAGAGGGAAAAAATGTTCTGTTTGAATAATGAGAAGGCAGGAGGGCTGTGCAACCTGAAAAGTATTTATCCATCCATCCCTTTCATCTTATTCATAGCTCAGGATAGTTGTAACTTCCTGTCCTTCTTGGAATACCAAATTCTTGGTTGGGCTTCCAAGTAGGAAAGCAATGACTCAGCTCTGTTTGAACTACATCCATTAAAGTGAAGGAATAATTAGAATGGAATTGAGATTGTTTTCTTTTGTATTCCTGGGGGAAAAAGCAGAGAGACCCAAAGAAGAAAATATATACACAGAGACATACTAGCTGACCTAACTGCAAAGGACCAGAATTCATGGCTAGAATCAGAAATCTTGGCTTGGCAGAGAAGCAACAAAGCCAGGGCCTCATTCAAGTGTAAACAAAATGTGTGAATTGTGCTTAATTAGGCACCAGTGGCTCAGAAGGACCATAGCCCTGTAAGGTGGCATCTACGAGGCAATTGGAGACATCAGATTGAATTGGACAGAGAGAGACAGTTGGACAGTTGGAGAGGCGCCTGGACAGACAGGAAGACAGATGGACAGACAGACTAATAGACGGACAGATGGCAGACAAAATGCACAGGCGAACAGAGAGATGGCCAGAAAGATAGACAAAGGGACTGATAGACAGACCGGTAGACAGACGGGTCCCCAGACAGACAAAATGATGGGCAGACAGAGGGACAGAGGGAGGGACAGACGGGAGGGGAGGGAGGGACAAACGGACTCTTGACGTCCCTTTTACGTTCCATATTTCTCTTGCCCCCAAGCAATTTTCTACCCCTTCGAGAAACTATAAACTGAACAATCTCACCTGTGGTCTAAAAACAAAAACTTCCATTCCAGGCTATGCCGTGAGCTGAATTCTTCACAGGATTCTTCCACGTTACAAAGTTCCTGCCCAAATGCAGGGCAGAAGACACGGTTAGGCAATTGGTCTTCGTTTTCTCTTTCCGTCTCTCTCCCCCCCCCTCTCTCTCCCCCTCCTCTGTCATACACACACAGAGAGACGAAACACCCCCCACCCCAGAAACATATAATCCACCACAAACCCAAATCCAGCAAGCAAGACCATTGATCAGGCTGCCTAATTTACTTTTTCTAACCACTCTCCTAGACCATAAACTTAATTCCCCATTCTGGTGCTGCTCTAATTTGTAATTAGAGTTTGCTTTGTTTGCTACGGACGAAGAACGCTTTATTGTGAATAGGGCAGAATTATCAATTTCATCCTTCTTACATAAAACTCTAAACCTGCAGTGCAATCCTATTTATATCAAAAAAAGGTCGCACGTGGGTCTCTCCTTGAGAGGGTGCAGCCTTATCAGCACGTTTCAGAAAGCTGCTCCGTATTATGACAAACAAAAATAGCGTTGGATTAGAAAAATTTCAAGAGAGCCTTGCTTGGAACGTGCTCATATTGCCTCCCCCCCCAAAGAAAGTCTTTATCATTTTAATCTTTTAGAAATGTCTTGACTCCAAAACAAAAAATAAAATGGTATCCCTAATGAAGTTATCCCGGGATGATTCCAAATGGAAGAGCTCATGGAGAGCTTTGGCCTGGTTCCACTGGCTCCTGTCCACGGCCCCTGGATTGTATCTGGTTATAGTTATGACTCTCAGCTTAGCGCACCTTCAAGAACTGTGGCGTAATGAGACGAACCGTTGCGACTAGACAGACCTGGGTGTCACTGACTGACCGGAACGTGCGTGCAACGGGAGACTCGAAGCCATTGAAGGACGACGCAGGCACTAGAAACAAAAAGAGAAACACCAAAAACAACTTCAATCAATCAGAATAGAGCTGGAAGGAACCTTGGAGGTCTTCCAGCTTGACCCCCTGCTCAGATAGCAGACCCTATACCATTTCAGACAAGTGGCTGTCCAGTCTCTTCTTAAAAGCCTCCAGTTGATGAACCAGCCACAACTTCTGGAGGCAGGTTGTTCTACCTGTTAATTGTTCTCATTGTTAGGAAGCTTCTCCTTAGTTCCAGGTTGCTTCTCTCCTTGATTAGTTTCCATCCATTTTTTCTTGTCCTGCCTTCAGGTTTGGAAAATAAATTGACCCCTCTTCTTTGTGGCAGCCCCTCAAATACTGGAAAACTGTTATCATGTCCCACCCACCCTCCGTCCTTTTTTCTAGAGTAGTCATACCCAGTTCTTGCAACCGTTCTTCATATGTTTTAGTCTCCAGGCCTTCAATCATCTTAGTTGCTCTTCTTTGCATTTTTCCCAAAGTCTCAATCTCTTTTTTGTAATGGGGTAATCGAAACTGGACGCAGTTATAGTCTTATTAAGGTTTTATAAAGCGGTATTAATATTTCATGTGATCTTGATTCTATGCCTCTGTTTATATAATCAAGCATTATATTAGCTTTTTTGGCTGCTGCTGCACACGGCTGGCTCATATTTATGTGATCATGCACTAGCACTCCAGGTTCCCTCTCACGGTTACTGTTTTTGAGCCAGGTTTTGCCTAATCTGTACTTGTACCTTTGGGGGTTTTTTTCCCTGCCTAAATGTAAAACTTTGCTTTTCTCCACATTAAATTTCAGTTTGCTCCCTAAAAATGAAACCTCATGGTTACACTTTCTCCATCTGGATTCGAACCCTCTTTTTACAACTGAGAGTAACCAAGTGAGTTATTCTATTTGCTTTCTTTATAGAGATGATATCAGAATGGCTGTAAAAAGAGCATAAAATATCGGTGCTGGGTGGGAAGGAAGAAATGAAACAATGAGAAAAAAAAAGTCTCAGATGTTTGCATTGGCTCTTTGGGAAAAGCTGAAAATTTGGTTTTCCTCGAGCGCTTGGGAGGGGGGAGGCTGACTCTGTATATTTGGGGGGGGGACATTTGAATGCATTGTAAGCATTTGTGTTTGATTGTTTACTGTGTCCTGTTTATGGGTGGCAGCCATCAAGAGACTACTATGACTGTGGAGGCCTGTCATTTCGATTCATTAGTAATAAATAAATGGGATTTGCAATGGAAAACAAAAGGACTGCCATTCTGATTCAATCTCAGGATATTTAAAAACTGAGATTGGAAGAATCAGGAGAAGTTTCAAAAGTGCTTCTTTTTCCAAAGGGAACTGGACTTTTTATCTTTTTTTCCTCTGAAGACATTTTGCTTCTCATCCAAGAAGCTTCTTCAGAACAGCATTATTATAAATTTTCACGGTTGAAGGAAGTTGGGACGTTTGGTCTGAAGAAGACCAGGATAGAAAGGCATAACAGCCTTCAGATCCATTAAAAAAAAAAGTGTCCTGGACATCCTAAGGATGCTTTTCCAAAAGGCATTTTGGGTTTTCCCTTGAAGATGTTTCACTTCTCTGCCAAGAAGCTTCTTTAGTTCTTCAGGTCTTCTTTTTGTTCTTCGGTTCTTGAATGAGAAGAGAAACACTTTCAAGGGAAAAAAACAAAACAAGAACGTCCAGTTGCCTTTCAAAAAGCAAAGCACCTTTGGGAAAAATCCTGTTCTGGATGACTGAGAATCCCTGTAGAAACCAAGAGAGGTCATTTTTTCCCCCTCTTGGTTCTTCTTCAGACTTTTTGGTCACTTAAGTTATCTTCCTCCATTTTTTAAAATGACCTCTGCCCAAAAGATCAGAAAACCCTCGTTTCAGAATCAGCTGAATGGCAAGCAAAGATAAAATTATCCACGTGTAAAATTATCAGCATGTAAAAAAAAAAAAGAGGGGGGGGGTGGAGGAATGCATCAGCTTACCATGAGTAAATGGTTTGAAATCCACCACAAATTTGACATATTCGTAGGTAATGGGCTCAGTCGGATCCAGGCTTCTTCGGGCTAAGTGGCAGCAAAACTCAATTTGTTTTTCAGCTGAAAGAGACCGATGAAAAAGAGGCTTTACGGAACAATACAAAGCAGTGAAATCGTCGAGCCGGTGGGTACCTTTGAGGTCATCTAGTCCAACCCTCTGTTTGGAATTCAAATATACTGTATGTTGATCTAGAGTTGGACTACTAGACTAAAGGTGGAATATGGGTAATCCTCAACCACCCTTGAGGCCAAAATTTCTGTTGTTAACTGAGACGTTTCTTAAGTGAGTTTCGCTCCATTTTACCACTTTTCTTGCCAAAGTTATTAAGTGAATCACTGCAGTTATTAAGTTAGGAACCTGGTTATTAAGCAAATTTGTCTTCCCCCGTTGACTTTGCTTGTCAGAAAGGGATCAGATGACTCTGAGGGACACAGCAACAGTCATAAATAGGAGCCAGTTGCCAAACATCTGAATTTTGATCGCACTGACCCTGGGGATGCTGCAGAGGTCATAAGTGTGAAAAACGGTCACAAGTCGCTTTTTTCAGTGCTGGTGTAACTTCTAACGGTCACTAAATGGACTGTCGTAAGTCGAGGGTTACCTAAATGACACTGTCTTTGCTGGAAATAGCAAAATGCATCACTTACTGTTTAGAAAATCGGAGGTTACTGGGTTGGTCACGAGCAGGTGGGGTGAGATTATCTTGTAGACATTGTTCTGTTCACACTCAGGCAGGAAATTTAATATATTTTGGTCCACCAAATCTGACTGAGACAAAAGAATGTCGTTATGTTCAACAAGAGAGTTACAGTGAAGAGGCAAAGTGAGGAAGTTCTGATATTGTACGGGTGGAACTCACCGGCAAATGTCCGAGGAGCGAAGAGACGCCATCGGATACGTAAATAATAATCCCATCAGTGGTTAGTGCAATGAGAAACCCGTCCAATGCCTGCACGGAGGGGAAAGAAAAGGCATCACATAGGAACAAGCAGCACATATCCCAACCTCTTGACTCTTGACTTCAAAGTTAAATTTTCAGTGGAATTTATGAAACTTTGCTCAAGTTGCACAACGACATGCGAGCTCGGCATTAAGTATTAAAATCAATCAGTATTAAGCAGCAGAAAGAGCAGATCTGAGTGATCCAGAAAGGGTAGCAAAGTTATTTGTGGGTATTATATTTTTAGCAACAGAGCACGAGAGAAGGGAGTGAATTATTGGTGTTATTTTTCTGGGCCACGAGACAAAAGACTTGGCTGACTTGATTTGAGAAAGGTACAGCAGCAACACTATTTGCATTGTGTCTCAAGCTGGCAGAGAGAGAGGGAAGGAGGGAGGGAGAGAAAGAGAGAGAGAGAGAGAGAATCAGACACAGTGAGAGAGATGAGATAGATGAGAGAGGATAGATAGAGATAGATAGATAGATAGATAGATAGATAGATAGATAGATAGATAGATAGATAGATGATAGACAGACAGATAGGCAGACAGATGATAGATAAAGAGAGGATAGAGATAGATAGATAGATAGATAGATAGATAGATAGATAGATAGATAGACGGACAGACAGACAGACAGATGATAGATAAAGAGAGAATAGATAGACAGACAGACAAACAGACAGATGATAGATAAAGAGAGAGGGTAGGTAGGTAGGTAGGTAGGTAGGTAGGTAGGTAGGTAGGTAGGTAGATAGATAGATAGATAGATAGATAGATAGATAGATAGATAGACACAAAAATAGATAGATAGATAGATAGATAGATAGATAGATAGATAGATAGATAGATAGATAGATAGATAGATAGATAGATAGATAGATAGACAGACAGACAGACAGACAGACAGACAGACAGACAGACAGACAGACACAGGGAGGGAGGGAGGGAGGGAGAGAGAGAGAGAGAGAGAGAGAGGGAGAGAGAGAGAGAGAGAAAGAGCAGATTTCCTTGAGAGTATTTGCACCCAACATATATTGTTGATCACTCCCTCTGAAAATATTTTGGAAAAACATGGATAACAAGATGTTACAATTCATGCCCTGTCACGTTTGTCTGTTCCATTGGCTGAAGGCCTCTTCCTTTACTTGTAAATAAAGCTCCCTTTCACACAGCAGGGCCAATCTCATCCCTATGGATCCCCACCAAGCTCAGCACAGCTCAGTAGATTTAGGGCAACAGGCAGCCTCCAACAATTCTCCTGGGTCAAGTGCCTCTCTGAAACCCAAGCCAGAAGTTGTACAGTTGCAGGGGGGAAAATCGGTCCTTCTCAATGACTGAGGCTTCCTTCGGGAAACGGATGACTTTCCCTTCGGAAATTTCTGCCTCTTTATGGGGGAAAAAATAAGTCTTTGCTTAACCACTTAGAACCACAAAGAAGGTTTGGGGAATTGATGTTATCCGAGGTTTAGGCTTCCTTACTCTGAGTTAATGCTTATTTTGTTTTCTTAATCCACATCTGGATCACAGCCCACTGCGAAGGCAATGAGACCTGAGAATAAAATTTACATCTCTCAGGCAGCAGGACGCCAAGATGCCTTCCCTTTCTCATTTCCCTTTCTTTCTGCTTCCTTGTCTACTTCGCCTCTAAATCAGAGAATCCAACTGTTGACTGCTGAAAGGACAAGAAAAATAAATTGCCAGGAAAATGGCAATGCCAAGACATTTTTTAAATAACCACCTGCACGTGAAACCTATAAAGAGTTTTTTTTTCCCCTTCCCTTCATAAGCAGAAGCTTGCTTGGATTAAATTGCAAGCCCATGAAGAGGCATTTGCAAATGGAAGTAAACAGACTTTTCGAAAGAAGGTGAGTCACTGGATGAGAAGGAAATAGTCAAACTGCAGTAATTCTAGGCCAGGCCACACCCTGAAGTACTGTGATGAGAAAGACACGGAAAATAGTCCACAAAAGATGAAAGAACCTGATTTAAAATGCAGGTGAGATTCCTTCCTGACAGGGAGGCAAACAAGATATACAAAATATTCTCCTGTCTACCTGTGTGGGATATTTATTTCACTAAGGAATGGTATCAAAGGAAAACCAGCTACCTGGCAGATTCTACTAAAACTCATGTCAGCAAATTCCTAAATATTTCTAATTTAGGGGCCAGAAGTGCAAAATTTATCCGCTGTTTTCGGTCCACACAGACAGCAAAAGCTGGGCATTTGTAGTTGCGCAGACGGCAAAGGCATGGATTAGAGATGGAGTCTTCAGAAACAGAAAAAACTTTTTGCCTTCTGAGCCATCCTCTTCAAGGTCTTCCGGCACTGCCCACCATAATACTGGTCCATTTACATCAGAATAACTGAACAATGCAAGTGGAACTAGCTACCACAAATACAATACAACGCTGTTGGCATGATATACAGTATTTGGCCTTGGGCAAGATCTGGCAATGATCAGTGAACATTTCATAAATCAGAAGCCAGCAATCTGTTGATTAGCTCTTGAATCATAGGACTGGAAGGGACCTTGGAGGTCTTCTAGCCCAACCCCCTGCTGAAGCAGGAGACCTTATGCTATCCTGGTCAAATGGTAGTCCAGTCTTTGAAAACTTCCAATGATGAAGCGCCTACCACTCCAGGAAACAAGCAGTTCCATGGAATAATTGTTGTCATGGTCAAGACATTTCTCCTTAGTTCCAGGTTTGATCTCTCTTTAATGAGCTTCCACCCTTTGCTTTTACTTTCAGGAGCTTTGGAGAATAAGTCAACCCCCTCTTCTCTCTGATAGCGCCTCAAGTAATGGAAGACAGTTGTAGTGTCACCACTAATTTTCTTCATTAAGCCAGACATGCCTACTTCCCTTAATCTTTCCTCTTCTTTTTTCTTCCATAGTTCAAGGAGAACTATACAGATCTCACTTGGTTTCATCCCTACAGTAAGAACCATCTGGGCACGATTAGGTCAAAGAAGAGCAACTGGTCCAAATAATCAAGGAGAGAAGCAACCTGGAAAAGGAGAAACTTCCTAACAGTGAGGACAATCAACCAGTGGAACAGAAGTTGCCTCCAGAAATTGTGGGTGCTCCATCACTGGAGGCTTTTAAGAAGAGCCTGGACAGCCGTTTGTCTGAAATGGTACAGGATCTCCTGCCTGAGCAGGGGGTTGGACTAGATGACCTCCAAGGTCCCTTCCAGCTCGATTCTGATTCTGATCCATGGAGCTTCTCTGGTTGAGAATAAATCTCACCCCATCTTAACGAACCATCACTCTGGTTCTCAAGAGGTATCTGAATCCAGTTTTCTTTTTAACCAAAGGCAATATTTCCCAGCAAAGTCTAGCAACTTTCTCCTGCTACCAACGGCTTCCTTCCGTCTCCTTGCATTGGTGTAATGGCGTCTTACCTCTAACATCAACTGAGTGAACTCTTCATTGCTAAGGAATGAGGGTTTCCAGTCTTGTCTAATCTCACAGGCTTCCGTCTGTGCGGAGATTTCTGAAAGTGAAAAGAAGAAAAGAAATTGGATTAAGAAAGAGCGCCGCAGCATTAAAGATGGTGTACGAAAACAGTGGTGTTATGTTTTCCCCTCAGGAAACGGATTTTCTCTAGGAAACCACCCTGACTTTATCTTACTACTGTAACTGAGAAAACGGCGGGGGGGGGGGGGAACGCAAATACTATTAGGTTTAGTCAGAAGAGGCATCAACAGATTTATAAAGTTATGAGTAGAGTGAAAAAAAAATAGAGAATTCCCCCCACCACCACTCATAGGAAAGTCATCCTTTGAAGCTGAATGCCATTAGATCAAAGAGAATCACACAGCAGAGGCCAAGGTGTTTCATTGTGGCTCACATACCTTTCTGTTTCTGTAAAAAGTCAATGGTCCTTTGTAAGATGGTGGACTTGTCCATCTTGAGAGGATGGCCGTGCCCCTGAAGCATGGTGCACAGTTCCTTAATGAGGACATTGAACTGATCCCTTCTCTTCTTCTCTGATTTGTTGCGTGATGCCCTGGTCAATGGAAACACAAAGTTGCCTTGAAAACTTAATTCCACTTCCATGGGCAAATCTACAAGGGCACTGAGGTCCTACACAAGGTATTGTCAAAAATGCTGAGATGGTGCATGACAAATGCAATCAAAGCTCCGCTTGGTTTTATGTACACCACAGATTAAAAGAAGGTGGAGCTTTGATATCAGTATCGTAGCTACCATCTTGATGTTTTTGATCCCATGGATGTGTCTCAATGTTCTTCTTCTCATCCAGCAAGCTCTTTGACTTAAAGGTCTAAAGCCTTTAACTGAGTTTACATATTTAAGATCTGGTTGGTTTAACTACAGTTTATGGTGTCGATGTCATGGTTCCGAAAGAAGAAGCTTTTCAAAGAACTTTGAGGCTGTGGTTGGATGTGTAATGCACCCAGCCCTAAATCAAGTTTGCACAGAGTTCATACACTATGCAAACCCAAAGAATCCGCGTGATGGATTGCATGCTGTAAATCTCAGCCTTTTCACTCTTCACTTTCTCCTACATGGGGAATTCCTGTTCTTTTCAGCTTCCTGAATGGAGACAATGAGAATTGTAATCCCAAAAAGAAAAAAATCATAGATCACCAGTGTGGAAAAGGTTGCTCCTAAATAAATAACATCTCAAGTTGTGTCCTAACTCTTGCAATAACAAATTTTAGACCAAGTTACTGCTGGGTTTTTGACGTTGGATTCCCTAGTCCTCAAGGAACAGAAGGATCATACAACAATTTTGGACTAAATCTTTAATAGTGTTATCCTTGAGTCACCTTTGTTAGGCATAGCAAAAATGAACAGGTTATCTTCAATCTGTTTTGTTGTACCATCAAAAATGAGAAAATATGCAATCTGTTTTTTCCAGGGATTAATTGATTTTGTTCTGCAGGATTCAATCTGGGTTGGTCACTTCGTTCTTTGTTCTTCCAAGCTTTTGGACTCGTGCTGGTGCCCATCTTCAGGGAACTTCCCAATCTCCAGGATGTGACAGAAATTAGAAATCTCCAAACTCACATCCTGTAGATTGAGATGTTCCCTAAGAATGGGCTCCAGCATGAATCTGAAAGACTTGGAAGGCTAAACAGCTCATCCCAATGATTGACCCAGATTGGATCCTGCAACATTATCCTGGCACATGTATATTTGCCTTCATTCATGATATTGTTCTGTTGCTGTTATCATGAGCAACACAATCACTGCAAGATATTTAGAGGGAGACAGCTTTCCTTGGGATACAAACGGTTTCCCCCAGCCCTTGTACCTCTTTGCCCTGTCCTTCTCATCTTCGGCCATCAGCTCGTTTACACAATACAGAGTCCTGCAATAAAAATACGCAACAGTCACTTTTTTCGTTGGCATAACAAACACCACCTGATGCTATCAAAATGGCAACATTCATCCCTTTTGTGAGGTATGCCACTATATATATATATATATATATATATATATATATATATATATATTTGATACACAGATAAATAAATAAGCCTCATTAAAAAAAATGGTTAATACCGAAGTTCTGTTTCTTCCCTGGTTCACTGAGCTGTGTAGTTTGTGATACCCAGAGTTACAGCCAACAATTATATTATTTACAAATCCATAAAGTTGCATCGGCTATCCAATTCTTTGCACACCGACGTGGCTGTTTCCTCTTTTAAAACATGGTAAGGAGTAAAAGTCACAGACATCAATCAAAGTTGGAGCGGGGCAACCAGTCAATTTAAATCAATACATAAATAAATAACACAGTCACAATAACAGAGAGCAAGATGATAACGCCAGATAATTATTGTTAAAACCCCCAATTTTTATCTTTTTAAGAAAGACCACAGGAGAAAGCACAAAGAGTGACATAGATCTCTGCTTATTTATTTATTTATTCGTTTCTGACTTTGGTAACCTGTAGGCAGGTGTACTTTAACTGCCAGTCCTTTGACTCTATGTTCTATTATAGCCAATCTCAATTAAAAAAAAATAGTTTTAGTCTTCTTGTAGAGTTGATTTCTTGGTCTGGTTTACTTGGTGGAAACGGAGAGGGATGAAGCATAAAGTCTGAGTTTCGAGAGGGACGGAACTAACTAGGATCAATAAGCAGATCTAAACAAGAAATAATTTCACAAGTATTTGATTGGCATGAGATTTACCAATCCGGATTAAAGACAAGGCAACACACTACAGGTCTGGACCATCGGGCCACAACAGACAATTCAAGCCAAATGCTCTTAGGAAGAAAGTTGAGTAGGATTCCTACGTTGACCAGGAAGACACAGGGGTGGGAAAGACGCCATCAAAACCATGCACAAAATATCTCATGGAATCTTGTCCTCCATCAATCAGAAACCAGGCGCTCGATCGCATTTTCACCGATCAATCCAGGACCACGCCCGGTGCCCCAGAGGCATTTTTCACATGGGTGCAGCCAAATATTTTTTCCTGCATGGCAACTACTACCTCTAATATGTAAGAGAAGTCTCATGCGTGGCGTGTTACACCCATATAGTCCTCTTTAATCACCCTCAAGTAGAACCAACAAGTCAGACATCTTCCTGGCAATGGACTGGCATAGCACAAGTTAACATTTCGAATTAGAAGAAACCAGTGAAATTGCAGCCAAGTCTGGCGAGACTCCTAGACCAGCCAACGGTTTCAAGAGCATTTCCTGCTATTCCATTTTTCCCCCTCCTAAATTTGCTTTTTTTTTTTCAGCCAACAATCAGCACCCACTGAACAGACTCCGTTCTTACTGGCTACAGCCGCAGCGCACGTTAAAATGGATCGGTCAATACTTTTGAATGGCTTAAGTCCTCAGCTTATTTATGTTCCTAAGCGAGACAGTTTTCAAGCAAACTTTGTACGGATTTTATGACTTTTCTTGCCTTCTCCGTTGACTTTGCTCATCAGAAAGTCGCCAAAGGGGGGAATCACGTGATCCAGGGACACTGTGACCGTGGTAAATATGAGTTGGTTGTCAAGCTTCTGAATTTTGATCACATGATCAGGGAGAGGCTGCAACGGTCGTAAGTATAAAAAAAACCTATCGTGTCAGTTTTTTCAGCGCTGTTGTAACTTCAAACGGTCCCTAAACAAAATCCAAGGGTGATCTGTATTTTAAACGGCTGAAAGAGTCCGTGTGCTTGCAGTACATTGCTACAGATTGATTGACTGATTAATTCATTCATTATCTACTATCAAGTCAGTGTCAACTGTTAGTCACACAAAACTCAGATTATGGAAATTACCTGTTTTATCCTGCAGATGCATTAGTCCAGGCTGGCAGGGGATGATAAGGATATTTTATTACCACCATGAAGGAGGAAATGAACTAAAAAAGAAAAAGTTTCAGAAAACTGTCAAACGTTTTAGTCTTTTTTTTTTTTTTACATATTACAATCACCACTAGCTGTGTCTCTCAAACTTGGTGACTTTAAAATCAGTGGGCTTCAACTCCCAGAATTCCATGCTGGCTGGGGAATTCTGGGAATTGAAGTCCACTGACCTTGAAGTTGCCAAGGTTGGGAAACGCACTGCTCCTCAAGAATGGAAGGAGCGTGTTAAATAAAAATGTCTAAATATATTTGATGAACGGGTGACCAACCTGCTTACCATTATTATAACTGCAAGTTATATTCGTGGTCATTGCAAATGCAATAGCGCTTGCTGGGGAATTCTGGGATATGGCACGCACCCGTTTTAAAGGTGCTAAGGTTGAACACAACTGGTTTCCATTTTGTTTACTTTTGTTTATTTAACCCCGCTTTTATTATTTTTACAAATAATAAGAATGGCACACATCTCCCATCCCAGGAGACGATGAGTCCTAATTCCGCCTTAGGCGTGAACTATCATTTGTAATTTTTACAAATAACTCCAGGCAGCGAACATATCCAACACACCTTCCTACTGCTATTTTCCTCAGAAAAAAACACCTTGTGAGGTGGCTCGGGCTGAGAGAGAGGAACCGGCCTAAAATCACCCAGCTGGCTTTCATGGCAAAAGCAGGGCTAAAACTCCCAGTCTCCTGGTGATTGGCCCAATGTCACCCAGCCTAGCTTTTATGCCTAAGGTGGAACTAGAACTCACCATCTCCTGGTGATTGGCTCGAAGTCCCTCAGTGGGTTTTCATAACTAAGGTGGGACTAGAATTCACCATCTCCTGGCGATTGGTCCAAAGTTTCCCAGTTGGCTTTCATAACTAAGGTGGGACTAGAATTCACCATCTCCCGGCGATTGGCCCAAAATCTCCCAGCTGGCTTTCATGGCTAAGATGGGACTAGAACTCACCATCTCCTGGTGATTGGCCCAATATAACCCAATCGGCTTTCATGCCTATGGCAGGACTAGAATTCACAGTCTCCCACTTTCTAGCCTGGTGTTTCTTATAGAACAGGGATGTCAAACTGCCGGTTGCATCATACAGATGCTGCACTCACCCCAGCTCTGGCAATGCAAAAAAAGTCACGATATGTCGTGACACATCACGTGACGCGGCGACTTTGACACCCGTGTTATAGAATGTTAGAAAGAAAAACAAGGTTTAATGTTATTAACGTGAGGTGGAATTGTATTCAAAACTTGGAATGTATCCTTCTCTGAAGGCCTTGGGATTGGTTCAGATTGGAGCGCATCCCAAAAATTGTTTGGTAGCTCTATTCAGCCTACTCATTAAAATCCTGGACCGAAGATATTTTCTTGATTCTGTGTCTTTGAATTGGCTGTTCATCAACATAATGAAAGGCTGCAAAGTATTATTCTACACGAACAAAGGCAAATTACATTATTCTACGCGGTTACCATCTAATCTGTTGTTGAAAAACCCAGAGGCAATTCTGCACTCCTGTTAAAACACAACAATAATGGGAGTGTAATTCATCTGAGTGGAAAGTCATTGGCCAAGTATTGGGAGGAACAAGGCCACCTGTATGTCGCACCTTCAAGACAATCACTCAAGCCACTTGTGGGTTTAACACAGGAAGAAGGGGGGGGGGAAGTCCTCTGTGTTAAGAAGAACTTGTTGGGCAGCCACACCTCAGCTCCAACTACTATTTTTCTTATTTTTCCAATATTTTAGATTAATAGGTAGAGATTAACAATTCTCCTGGTGATTGGCATAAAGTCACCCAGCCAGCTTTCACGCCTAAGGTACAACTAGAACTCACTATCACCTGGTGATTGGCCCAAAGCCGCCCAGCCACCTTTTATGCTGAAGGTGGGACGAGAACTCACATCCCCTGGTGATTGGCCCCAGCCAGATTTCCTAATGTGGGACTAGAATTCCCAGTCTCCTGGTTTCTAGCCTGGTGCCTTAACCAAATAGATCAAACTGGTCTTCATAACTTCAATTCCCATTCCAAATTCCCTTTTTAAGGCGAGCCCTTGTTACTACAAGGATATTAACAATCCCTCTACACACCTTTGAAATGGAGCACTCATTTCTACGCACAACGGAAAGAAACAGTTTGCCTCTCCTCTCCGAACATATAATAGCCAGGGTCCCCCCCCGCCTTCATTTACCGCAAAATAATATGGAGGCAACTGTATCACATTTTTACAGATGACATTTAAGAAAGCAAGCAGGTCTCCCGTATTCCTTAGAAGGAGTTTAGCGCCTCATCTCAAAGCAATAATTAAAAAAATCCACCTGTACGTGCAGCCTTAAAATCTGCCTCTTGCTATTCACAGAATGCTGCAAACTCAAAGTGACATTTAACAAACGGTAAAAACTCTGAGAAAAAAACTCTCAGAAAAATTGGCCCCAGCTGACGCTTTTCCTTGTCCAAGAACAGTAACATGCTTGCGATAGATGTATGATATGCATGTATACACACAGACACACACGTATACATACACACATAAAGCACCTGTGTTTATAAGTACATACACACACACACAAAAAAAGATACACACATTGCGTATTCAAAGTATAGCGTACCAAAGGCCAGGTCCTATAGATCAGGGATCCCCAACCTCTGGACTGTAGATCGGTACCGGTCTGTGGCCTGTTAGGAACCGGTCCATACAAATGATGGACAAGCGAGTGAAATTCCCCCTCCTCATGCGCGGGATCTGGTCCCCGGTGCCAGGAAAGTTGGAGACCACTGCCATAAATTATTATTATATAAATTAAAGTGTGTCTGTCTGTCTGTCTCTCTCTGTGTATGTGTGTGTATAAGGGAGAAAGATGGGGAAAGCAAGAGATGGAGGGAGGGAGGAAGGGAGGGAGGGAGGAAGGGAAATAAATAAAATTAAAATAAAATAATAAAATAAAATAATAAAATGAAATGAAATCTTTGTATATACACACCCACAGACACACACGAACACACACGCTACAGGGCGTCCGAAAAGTCTTAGGCAGTTTTAAGCTTTTGTATGTGGTATGTAGGAACGCGTATATGATTGCTTCATTCCTTCTCTTTAGTATTTACAATTACGATTTTGGCATTCGGGTTGGGACAGCCCTCCACGGCTGCAATGGTGGCCGAGAGTCGAGGCCAACCGGAGTGCGCATCATCAGTCAATCCATCCATCAATAACAGTTCTGTACAAAGTGGCCTCCATTCAGGCAATGCCCTGGCAAGCCCATCTCCATTTGGGAAAAATAATGCCAGACTAATTGAGCAAGGCGGGTATCAAAATACTGGTTGCTCTGCCTGGGTGTGGCCAAAGATTTATTTATTTATCCAGCCTGGCCGTTGCTGAAAGAAAACAAGGCAGAGTCGGGAGAAATAGCCAGTTCGAGTGATCTATGGCAAGGGATGACAGTAATAATAACTTCCAGAACAGCCTGATAAATGGGGAAAAGGGCAAAACTCCGAACCAAATTAATCCTGGAGATTTAAATTTGAAATTACAGGGAGGTGATTGTCCCAGCATGTCCTTTGTGCTAACTAAACACAGAATGTAACTTAACAACTTAGCAAGGCAGGAGAAGAAGCAACGGATGGGAACTAATCAAGGAGAGAAGCAACCTAGAACAGAACAATTAACCAGTGGAACCACCTGCCTCCAGAAGCGGTGAATGCTCCAACACTGGAAGTTTTTAAGAAGAGACTGGACAGCCATTTGTCCGAAATGGTAGAGGTTTCCTGCCTGAGCAAGGGATTGGAATAGATGACCTCCAAGGTCCCTTCCAACTTTATTATTATTATTATTATTATTATTATTATTATTATTAACCACACTTTGGCCCAACCGGCCACTTCCAGAAGTCCATTCTGGGCCTGGGCAACAAAACATTAGCTACCGGTTCTGCCAAAATGGTGCAAACTGGCTGAATCCCACCAAAGGAAGGAAGGAAGGAAGGAAGGAAGGAAGGAAGGAAGGAAGGAAGGAAGGAAGGAAGGAAGGAAGGAAGGAGGGAGGGAGGGAGGGAGGGAGGGAAGCAAGCAAGCAAGCAAGCAGTGGTGGGATTCAAATACGTGAACAACCGTTTCTCTGCGTGGATGCCACTTCCGGAAGTCCATTCTGGGCCTGGGCAACAAAAAATTAGCTGCCAAAGTGGTGTGAATTGGCTGAATCCCACCACTGGACTAGCTGTATGAATCAGGGCTTCAGCTTCCAACATTATGAATCAAAATGTCCTGAATGCACACCAATAAAAGTCAGAACCTGCAACCACACCTGTATTAAAGTGCTCTGGTATTAAAGCTGGCTTCCAGAACGGCTCTTTGCCAGCCAGCAAGCTTTTTTCCCAGATTAGAGTCACGTGACCTGAGCTGGCCTCGATTGACCTGTCGAAGCTCAGCAGGGTTGGACCAGGTCATCAACTGGGTAGTAAAGCAGAAGTAAACCTTGGGGCTCTGAGTTAGACTGGAAAGTCAAGAAAAGATAGAGAGGTTGGCCACGGCAAACACCTTGCTGCGTTCTTGCCTGGATAATGACACAGTCTGTTAGCACCCGGGGCCAACTTTACTCACTGTCAGTATCACAACTACATCTCTGGGGGCTCGGGGGCCAGGAGAAAAATTGGACAGGGAAGAAAAAAAGGGTCTTCTCTCTCTTAAAGCCAAGTTCCCAATCGGATTTGGCTCCACCTTTTTCCCTAAAGTCCTAACAATCGCCCAGGAATTTTTTTAGTTCTGAACGCGTAGTTGGCTCGGAGGATACAGCTTTGAAAATATTTATACGTGGGCGGTCCTCAACTTACAACTATAATTCATCCCAACCCATGCCACCATTGTTAAGTGAATCCATGCAGTTGTTAAGTTAGTAACCTGGTTGTTAAAGGAATCTTGCATCCCCGCAAAAAGGGGATCGCATGGGACACAGTGACCGTCACAAATACGAGTCAGTTGCCCAGCGTCTGAATTTTGATCGCCTGAT